ATATTGGTTTAATCATAACAAGTCTCTTGTCACCAATTTTGAATACCTTGTGTGAGTATACTACAATGTACTGGGTGTTTTTGTATTTGTATGGTTTATAGCGGAGCTCCACGCGCGGCGCGAAGCGCCGCGAGAGCGACGCGCGTGGGCGGAGCCCCATAGCTATGGAACAGGGCTAATAAAGGTTGGGCGGTGAAACGAGCGCATCCGAGCAAAAAGGTGTGATGCAGTGGACTGGGACTCTGCTTAGAAATGTCGCTTGTTTTCGACTTCGTTGAGGGCTTGCGATGTGGTTTATACATTAGACACTGCCGCTGTCACTGAATTATGGAGGCTTGATTTGTTTTCTTGCACTTCTTCCTTGTTTCTTTGTGCTGGTACGCTGTCTCCGAGAGGCAAATGTTGCTATTTTTTGCGGGAGGTTTAATTAGAGTAGACAAACATTTCTTTCAAAGGGTTTCTCTTATTACTTCCATGACTCTACCACTGAATTATATTTTCGTTCTACTACTCGCCAATGTCGATGTTATTCCAAAACAAAAACAACAAAGTACTGTCTAAAACACGAACGAAAAATCTCATCCATGTCATCTAGGGCAAAACTAAGACCCTGTTTACATGGAGAGGAGGACCCCGGTCTAGTGGGGTAAGTTTCTTTTGTTTTGTGTCTCCCAGAGCGTGAAAACAAAAGAAACCAACCCCACTAGACCGGGGTCCCCCACTCCATGTAAACAGGCCCTAAAAGGCAGCAGATCGTGTTTCATAACTAGATGACGTGTATTTTATAAATGCGTGCAGCTCACGCAAGGTGAAATTATGCTAATTTCTGATCACCATCATCCTTCTTTTTAATTTTGAAAAAACATCTCATACGTCTTTCTGTTTCTTCGAAACTTCAAAATTAGTTTCCCCTCAGTTTTTACTGTTTACCTTTTTTTTGTTTTAGAGAGAAAAACGGAGGAAAAACCTTACAACTAACCTTAATAAATTTTGTTTACATGCGGTTGCCGGATTTGCGACGCATTGCGCGCGTCGCCATGGCGCGTTGCACCCGAGAAGCAAAGTTTGAAGCAGTACAACGCCACTATATCAAAATATATCAATCTAATTTTTTGTTATGTTATATAAAATTTATCTCCCTTTAACATATGTAAAAATTGAGGTTAAGAAGTGTTAAGCTTTTACAAACGAAACGGCGAAAGACGATTAGGTGATATTTGGTGGAAGGAGGAGGTATTCAACACTTTCAAATTAAACTCAAATTTTGGCATTATACGACCAACAAGTTTGACTTATAGGCATACAGACACAAGCATATGAAACTGTTTTATTGATATTGTTATGAAACGAATTTATCTATTCAACTTTGTAGCTTGAAATTACAGAAAGAAAATAGGATTTCCGGTTTGCAAAAAGGAAAATTTCGCCGGCCTTCAAGCGCACCGGAAGCGCGGAAAGAGCGCTAGTGCTAGTCCTACTCCGCATCACACATTAAATGAAGAGCGGGGCGCTCGTTTCACCGCCCAACCAGGGCGGATAAAGGTTGGGCGAAGAAACGAGCGTCTCCGAGCAAAAAGGTGTGATGCAGTGGACTGGGACTCTGCTTAGAAATGTCGCTTGTTTACGACTTCGGTCAGGGCTTGGATGTGGTTTGTACATTAGACACTGCCGCTATCATTGAATTATGGCGGCTTGACTTGTTTTCTTGCACTTCTTCCTCGTTCCTTTGTGCCGGTACACTGTCTCCGAGAGGCAAATATTGGTATTTTTTGCGGGAGGTTTAGTTGGAGTAGACAAACATCTCTTTCAAAGGGTTTCTTTTATTACTTTCATGACTCTACCACTGAATTGTATTTTCGTTCTGCTACTCGCCAATGTCGATGTTATTCCAAAACAAAAACAACTAACTAATGTCTAAAACACAAAGGAAAATCTCATCCATGTCATCTATGGCAAAACTAAAAGACAGCAGATCGTGTTTCATAACTAGATGACGTGTACTTTATAAATGCGTGCAGCTCGTGCAAGGTGAAATTATGCTAATTTCAATCACCATCATCCTTCTTTTTAATTTTGAAAAAAACATCTCATACGTCTTTCTGTTTCTTCGAAACTTCAAAATTAGTTTCCCCTCAGTTTTTACTGTTTACCTTGTTTTGTTTTAGAGAGAAAAACGGAGAAAAAAACCTTACAACTAAGCTAAATAAATTTTGTTTACATGCGGTTGCCGGATTTGCAACGCATTGCGCGAATCGCCATGGCACGTTGCACCCGAGAAGCAAAGTTTGAAGAAGTACAACGCCACTATATCAATATATATCAATCTAATTTTTTGTTATGTTATACAAAATTTATCCCCCTTTAACATATGTAAAAATTGAGGTTAAGAAGTGTTAAGCTTTTGCAAACGAAACGGCGAAAGACGATTAGGCGATATTTAGTAGAAGGAGGAGGTATTCAACACTTTCAAATTAAACTCAAATTTTGGCATTACACGACCAACAAGTTTGACTTATAGACGTACAGACACAAACATATGAAACTGTTTATTGATATTGTTGTGAAACGAATTTATCTATTTAACACTGTAAGCCTGAAATTACAGAAAGAAAATAGGATTTCCGGTTTGCAAAAGGGAAAATTTCGCCGGCCATGAAGCGCACCGGAAGCGCGGAAAGAGCGCTCGTGCCAGTCCTACTCCGCATCACACATTAAATGAAGAGCGGAGCGCTCGTTTCACCGCCCAACCTTTACCCGCCCTGCGCCCAACACTTATCCGCCCTGCGCCAGACCGACCGACCATCCGTCCGCACCACAGGCATACCAATGTCAGACAACTCAATCGACAGGTATAGCAACCCAAATGCAACTCAAGGTTTTATTTGGAAGGAAATCACATAGAAAGAAAAAGCAACAACAAAGTCGTGTCTTTTTCGACGTTTTTTCATGTTTACTCTCACGTGGAGAAAGAGCTGGAGCGAGTGATTGAAAACAAGGGAGACAAATTTCGTAGGAAGAAAAACATGAAAATTTAAAGCGGCGGTGCGAAAATGAGAAATGCTAGCGGCCAGCAAGGTGTAAATGAGGGCCAGTGAAAAATAAAAGCGAACATGAACACAGGAAACAAAATATTAGGTAAACACATACGACAATTCCTTCATGAAAATAATTTGTAACAAGGAAGTTTGACGTTTTAGTCGTTCAAAACAACCTTGTAGTCGTGCAAAACAACAGCAAAGAAAGACAAAAATGCGTTCTGCACGTGCAAATTTGTTTTTTTTTGTTGCTAATTAGGAAAAGTGTGCTGCACGTTGCTGCACGTGCAATTTGGTTTTTTGCTAATTAGATGTATTGATCTTGATGTCATTTTCATTGCCGTCCCCGTTTAACATTACACGATTTATTTATTTATTTATTTATTTATTGTTTATAATTATTCAATCACCAGAGCTTCGCTTTAAGCCCTGGGTAAAATCTGTTTAGTATATACTAAAACAGTGGATAGTGTTCTTCGCGCGCTCTGACTGGCTACTCAATCAGTGAATATCCTGCACTATTCACTGATTCACCTCCAGTTCCTCCAAGCGAGCGACGCCAAACTATCCTCCACCACTAGCCACCTCCACTTCGGTGACTGAATTGTTATAAATTAGGAATATAGTATCAAGTGCTTGTAAATTTAGTAGTTATAGTTAGTTGTTAAGTATTGTATTTCAGTTGTAAGTTCTCTGACTGTCTTTTCTTTCTTTTGATTAGTATTTTAATTGGTTTTCAAAACACTAAATGAACGGCAGTCCTATATTCTCAATAAATTTGACAAATCAAAAAAATCCATCTAATCTAAACTATCATATGTCGATTAAGAAAAGTCAAGCGATCCTGAAATGCTTTATAGATCTCAAGTTTAGTGTTTGGTTTACGCTGTGCTGTGAAAACGAAACCATGTTTTGTGACACTTAGAACTTTTTTCAGCTTCCTCTTTCCTCTTTCCGCATTCCTCTTTCTGCTTTCCTCTTTCTTTTATCCCCTTTGCCGACTTATCTAGGAAAGATCGAAGCGACTCTGCTAGCAGGACTCTAGCAGGGTAGACTGCTGGTCATTTAGTGTTTTGACAATCTTGACCGGCGGTCGACCTGAAAAAAGTTCTTTAAATGTCACAAAACATGGTTTCGTTTACTGAGCACAGCGTAAACCAAACGCTAACCTTGAGATCTATAAAGTGTTTCAGGATCGCTTGACTTTTCTTAATCGACATATGATAGTTTGGATAGGTTGGGATTCTTAGGTAAGTCAAATTTATTGAAAATACCGGACTGCCGGTCATTTACTGTTTTAAAAACCTTGACCGGTTACCGGCCATGTAGCCACAGTGTTTAGTTAAAGCCTTCTTTTACTTATGTACAGTAATCCTTCCCCTTTTTTTTCTGACCTTAGGTCATTCAAGCCTCCGGCTCTCGTTGTTCTCCCAGTGTATTTTTTTCGAGTGTGTGATGTGTAATAAAAGTTAAGTTGCTGTTCACCAGTTCGAACCTGCTCGAATATGACTCGGTTTATCGAAGATTTTCTGCGCGAGATCGAGTTGTTGGGCAGATGGTTTAGCGAATACAACAACGAAAGACGATGGCAAGCTCACACCTTTTGCGTTCTCATTTGAAGTCGCGTTCTCTTAAAAACCTTCGCTAAATCTATTTCGAGGCAAAAATAGCCAGTGTAGACGGGCCCTGTATCAAGGTAATAGCTCTTAATAAAAGCCCATTTCCAAACTGTGACTCAGAGGTACCAGGTGTATTGGAGCATGCCAATCACGCTTTTTATGCGTGACCACTAACCGAAGGTCATATATATTGTAATTGTCGGTTTAATGGGAGTTCATTTTGCATCAAACGATTACAGTCTTGTCTGCAGAACAATACCTTAAAGTAATGAGATCGTTCACCTGAAAACCCTAAGAACCTCCCAAAACAGCAGAATGACATTTGCGATAAACATGAACAAACAACTTACCCGGCATAACTTTTCTCAAGTGCAGCTTTGTATCTCTCGACTACCGACCTTGCTTCTTGTTCTTCTAAAGGATTTTCAGCCATAAATGCTGGTCCAGCGGCTGTATTTCTACCTATACCGTCGACATTTGAATACGGAAAGCTGTAGGTTTTGTGGGCATGTCTATTGACTCCATGATACTGTCCAAAGCCGACTATGTTTGCGGGATCAAGAAGATAACTAGGTTTATATTCACAAGAATTTAACGCCTTGCTTACAGCTGAGCTTTCTAAGTAGGCAGTTGTCTCTGGCTTCATGTGCTTATTAGCAAACTGGAGACGTAGTGATTCACAAGCAAGAACGTCCGGCAAATCGTCATCGTAAACTTTCATTCGAGCTTTGTCACTGTCATTCTTGTACCGACCAAAAAACTGCCCATCGATAACTTCAAAGGCATTTTTATCCGGCCTTTTCCATGAAAGTTGAATTTGAGCGCCGTCATTATTCTCTGAGCCACTTACGTATAATATGTCTATGTAATATGTAGAATGGGCTGCCAGCTTCACACCGAAATTAGAAGATTCTTGAGGCTTTGTTGGATAATGAGCGACTTTCGCTCCATCTTTCCAACTAATGCCTTTACTCAGCCAAACCTCGACAACTCCATTTGATGCAACGGTGAAAAGATATTCACCAGTCACATTCGGCCGAAGAAATCCCAGTAATCGAATGCCATCAACATCTTTTACAGATGAAGTGATGTTGACATTTTCTACGATGCTTCGCGAATCTGGTGCATTCGGAAAGATTGGGAAATTGCAAAGTTGTTCGAGACTTCTCTGACAATTCTTTGTCCATGTATGTTGATTCAAACCTTTGAGGAAGTAAACAACCTTTGCCTCTGTTTTTGGTTCGTTTTCCGTATGAACTTCTTCTGTCTGTATAAGGGCAACCTCAGTAGGATGGATCGTTGATCGCCCTCGACCAGAAATAGAAAAGACAACTATTACAATATACAGAGAGACGACACCAATGGCAACCAAAAGTATTGTTTTAACGCGAGACATACTCCACAAAATCAGCGATCCTTACTTATTTTATCCTCAGTTACGTGGAATACATACGAGAATGGTCGAGAATGGCAGAAGTGAAAATTGGCCTTACGCTCGTTTTACTGACAAAGACTTGAACTTAAAATATTGTGTGATATTTGTAAGCAGCGTCACGCAAGAATTATTCCCACGAGGAAAAATAATTTGCATTTTGGATAACGAGCAGTATTTTGGGTGTTTTGTTTACTTACGACAGGTGTAACCTCCTATGGTTATTGTGCATGTGCTGGGTAAAATTCATCAAAAAATAAAAACACGAGACACGAACGGACTAAAAAATACATTTCCTAACGAGACATAACTGTTTGAGGCGCAGCTCAGGCGATGTTTCCTTTTTTTTACCATTAATTTGTGGTTAGCGAAATGGTGCAAAATTCACATATTCCATATTCATTCACATTTAATGATTTCATTCTTGTTCACGAATACATTTATTGACATTAAACAACTACGTTGTCATTCGACATGCCGACACAAATTCACATTCAGCGACATATTTCTTAGTTACGAATATATTCATTCACATTCGCAACATTATACTGATTCATTCACATTCAAGGTCATGATTTTTATTCAACACTTGCAAAATTCGCAAATTCCATATTCCTTCACTTTGAACGATTAATTTTTTTTTCACGAATATATTCATTCACATCCGCGACATATATTCAATTACATTCAACATTAATTTTTATGCGCATCCCTCTTTGCGCATCATTTGATCCCAGGCTCCTAGCTCTGGGCTGTATCATCTGGAAACAGGCGACCCACCTTGGTGATTTGGGGAGCCCCATAAGGCGTCGTTCTCGCTAAGTAAACTTAACTTTCAATGGCGGAGCACAAATAGACTACGAGTAGTCCCCCATTTTTCATAAGGGATAGTAGAGCGAGCGAAACGCGAGCGCCCGTGAAAATCCGCCCTCGCGAGAAAAGGCGACACGCGGCGGGAAGAGAGAAAAATTGTCTCTCCCGCCGCATTTTGCCTTTTCTCGCGTGAGTGATTTTCACGCGCGATCGCGTTTCGCTCGCTTTACTATCCCTGAGGAAAAATAGGGGACTACTCGTAGTCTAGAGCACAAAGTCTTTTGAAACGGACATGATAAAATGGGTTTGACAGTTTTACGCGACTCCTGCTGTGTGGCCATTGTGTTTCGTTTTCAGCCCTCACAGTTTTGCTTTAACAAGCATATCTTCAAGCGATTTTTCCTTTCTATAAGAAATCAAGGGAAGCCCTTTGAGTAGCTCCTTGATGGTTGCTCTTGTATTTAAATTGCCTCTTGTCCATTAGTATGTTCTTCAAACATGGTAATGATGGATATACTTGAACTTGCGTAACATGGAGAGGGGGGAGGGGGGCTTTCGGTGCTTTCTGTTTTTTAAGTGTAAGAGCTTCTTTTCTTCAGTGTGGTGCTATTTTCTGAGCGGATTTTCCAAACGTTTTCTTAGGGTAACCTCTAGAGGTAGGGCGCCTTTTGAATTATTTTATGTTGTCTGTAAAAGTAACCTTCGAGGAGATTGTTCTGATAAGCCTGAGAGCTTGTTCTGATAAGCCTGAGAGCTTCTCTTTTACCAAAGCCTTTTTAACACCTGGTGCCGTGACAGCTGTTTGAAGTGAGCGTACTGAAAGGAAGCTCGCACAACGGGAAACTTTTCTTTAGCAACTCGCTTTCCCCAATAGACTGGTGAATCCAAAACTTGATTGCAGGGTGATGAGAATCGGAACCGTTTATATAAAATGACGACTATTGTAGGTTCGATTAGAACGCGTAGGGTAGCAACGAGCGTGCTTTTTAATACAACCGCGTGTGCCAGTGACAAAATTTCTTATATGAATAACTTTACACTCGTGATGGCCTGGAACTATGGTGGAAAACCGCAGACCAGTCAATAATAAAAGCTACAACGGCAGCCAAAGTCTATTGTTTCATCCAAGACAAAAATTTATTTAATTAATTTGATTCGCCTGAAGAAGTCCCCTGAAGAAGACGGCTTGTCCGTCCGAAATATCGGGAAACCTCAAGACACGTATCTCTTTGCTATTTTTAATGTCTATATCGATGAGAATTGGCTTGTTGAAAAGTCGAGAAGAGTTTTGAACATTCTTGATTTGGGTCCAACATATATAACATATCGTCAATAAACCTTTTCCATATTAACAGTGTGTTAGTAATTTGCCTCAGGAGTTTTCTAGTTTTGCCACAAAATATTGGCAAGTGCTGCGGCCATTTTATTACCCATGGCTGTGCCGAGTGCCTGGAGATAGTGTTGGCCATTAAAATGGATGGAGTTCTCTTTTAGGATAAGGCTCTGCATTTCACTATGGAAATGTGTCGCCATAGGAGGATTTCCTCTTGTCGAATATTTGTGTCAGTGTCTGGGGAGTACGTATACCCCGGAGGGGGTACCTAAAGTAATGGCCTATACAGGAAGGCTCAGACCAAAGGGGTACCTTTTGCATGCCTCAGTTATATGAAAGGGTAGGGATTTTACTATATCGTAAATTTTCTTGTTCTTTGGCCAACCGAATTGAAGGAGTGTAAAAGGTTTGGGAAATCTCCGATTTTGGTCTGTGCAAAGGCCCAAAAGGCCTTACAGATCAGTTTATGGCTGTGAAAAAGTCGAGAAAACGAAACAAGATATACGAAAGGGGTATCATTCTTCAATAGAAGGTATTCGAAAAGTATACCTTTTCTGTCCAAATGGTATATAAGGGTAAGGGGTTGGACCTCGGGGCGCAGCCTCCTCGGATAAAGCGTGTTTGAGTATCCCCCTGGGGTGTATAGGCTGGTGACGTCCATTGAGACTAGAAAAACGTTGTTTATTACTTGTGTCTTGATGTCTAAAGAGGGATGCGCACAAAATGTTGAATCATGAATATAGCAATGGTGTTGAATAAAATTTTGTCGTTGACTGAGAATGAACATATTCATGAAAAAAAATAATAAATCGTTCAATGTGAAGGAATATGAAATTTGTGAATTCTACTCATCAACAAAATCACTGAATGAAAAAAGCAAGTGTTGAATAAAAATTATGACCTTGAATGTGAATGAATTAATTCGTAACTAAGAAATATGTCGCTGAATGTGAATTTGTGCACATGTACATGTTGAATTGAATGACAAAGAAGTTGTTGAACGTGAATGAATATATTCGTGAACAAGCAATGAAATCATTAAATTTGAATGAAGTGGAAATTGTGAAGTTGCACCATTTCGCTGCAATATTAATTTGCATAATTTTACAGGGTGTCCCAAAAGTTCGTTCCTCTACTTTAAAAGTCTGTATTTCAGTACGATTGAACTTGTTAAGCAAATCATTGAAGCAAAAGTTGTGTCTTTCAATCTAATTCACTATTTTCATACTTGTTGTGCCATGTTTTGACTCGAATATTCGATTTGTGTACTCCCGCACCAAAGGTGCCCGTGCGCGAGTATATTTCCAGCCACATAATTTTTGTATTTTATGGCCCGAATTTCTCGAACTTCTTCCTTGTATTTTGTGAATATCACAAAAGATAAACCGCTTTAAGGCAAAAAAGTTCAGAGCATAAGCATATATACTTCGATTTACTGGCTTGTCTGTTGTAGAAACTGCTAACAAACTGAAAAAATCCGAATGTTGGGTGGTAAAATGATCAAGGAGTAATGAAGGTTTTGAAGGCAAGAAACGAAGGGGAACACCAAAAGTCCTGAAGAAAGCAGCTAAAATAGTTTTAAAGAAGGCTAGATACAAAGTAGGTGACTCAACGAGGAAGCTGTCACATAGTTAGAGAGCCAAGTCCAGAAAGGGTTGAGAAAAGCTATTTAAAATGCTTAAAATTAGAGGCCCCTGAGATGGCAAAAAAAAAAAAAAAAACCTGTGCTTAGTCTGCCAAGTAACGCCCAGCTGGGCGATTAACGATTAATTGTTACGTGGCAATTTTATCTGTTCCTCACATAAGATAACTTGCCCAAGTGATATTAAAAAAAGCTAGCAAAGAGCCCCGTCGTTAACGGACTAATTCAGAGAATTTTTTAAATAGGTCCTTCCAGCGGTGGGTGACAAAATTATTGGCGAAAACTGGCTACAAATAGCCGCAGAGAAGGTAAGGTCATCAAACTATTTTTTACTGCCTTTCTGGTATCGATCAGCTCGGTAAGTTCCTTCGTGTATGGCTTCTACATTTCAGTAAAGATTTTGACCACACTGATCACGCACTGGTCTCCAAGCTTGTTAGTCTTGAAGTCCGTGGTTTCTTAATAAGGTGGATCTGTATTTTTCTCAGTGGTCGTCGCCAAGCTGTTAAACTTAGTAACCTTATCTCTTAATGGATGCCACTCCATGGGGGTGTCCCTCAGGGCACTAAACTGGGGCCAAATATGTTCCTAATTATGATCAACGATGTAATTAGCATTACAACATCTTTATACAATCTCCTCTACTATCCAGTCAATAGACTGGAATTGATGACTGCCAAGCAATATCAGAAGAGGTCACCGTGGGCGGTACATCTTCCCTTAACAACCCCATCTTGACATCATTTTTCGGTGGTCATCGTGAAACAACATAAACCTAAACCCGAATAATTTCAAGGAGATAACGATTTGTACGCTCCGAACTAAATGTGCCGTCTTATAATTAAAGTACTTAGGCTTACGTTGTGTTACACTCTTAAGTGGAACGACAACTTCAACGAATTAGTTGCTAAAGCACCAAAGAGCATCGAAGAGCCGGGATCCCCTCTATGGTGACCTCTTCAATGTCTATCCTTATATCGATAAGCTCAGTTCTGGTAGTCACGTGATCAAACAGCCTACCTGTCTATCTAAGGCAAGATCGAGCAAGTCGGAAAAAAACCACTGCGTATACATATCCCCTATACCCACTATAATGATGCGCTTTCGTTATGTAAAATCACCCGGCTTCATGCTTGACCTGATGACGCGTGCTATTAGGTGTGGTACAGCTTCCGTGACCACCCAGAATTACGCCTTCACCGCTTATTGCCTCCCTTGCGTGCTGAGAGCCAGCCTTACAATTTGCGCTGCAGTAACAACTCGGCCTTACCAAAGTGTCGTACGGAAGGATATAAACGTAGCTTTCCTCCCGCTCTCGCTTATAAACTCGCTCTTTAATCCAACGCCACTTTTACTATAGCCCAGTACCATAGTGTAATATTAAGAATTAGTGTAAAGTACTGTTTAACGGTAGTAACAAAGTATTTATCTATTTTACAAACATACATTTTTAGACATATTAAATGCTGCAAGCAGAATTTAATACGTCTACATTATTATTTTTGCTGATCAGGTCTTTACAGATCCTACGTCCCTCGGCATATTCGTTTGGTGTCCTTTGCAGTCCTTTATGGTTAATTTTTATACGTTTTTAGCATTATTGTAACCAAGTCCCAGAGCCGGTAAGAAAATGTGTAAACACGTTGTATTTCACTTTCGGGTGCTAGTCTGTGATTTGTAATAAGCCAATCGCGCCTTGAAAACCAGGTAACCGATTGTAGTCTACAACCTTGTTCCCAGGGTTCTCTCCTACCCTAGGGACGGGTAGGAGAGAACCCTGGGAGCGAGGTTGTGTAGTCTATGTTGTGCCTAAGGCCTAAGAAAAGATGCTGCATGCTGGCCTCGTTGCCTCTCACATGCGAGCAAGCTCTCGTTTAATAGTCTGGGATCTCGTAAAATGTCACGCGTGGAGTGGCATGTGCAAGCAGCTTACTGGAGCTTGCACTGCGAGAACAATAATAAAGGATTAAATTAACTGCAGAAACCGTGGACGAAGATCCTGCTAGTTGTAAACGTTGGATCTCTAGAAAAGAGAAAATCAGCCAAAATATAAAGAACCAAGAACGAGAAGTCCAAAGACTACTGCAAAACTGATTTAAGACAACGTGTATTGTTTTTTATAACAATTGCCGGTTTTCACATGACGTCACTAAAATTCAAACAACAAAACTATCGATCCTACTGAGATTTTACTTGCATGGTGTATTAGAGCAGCTGAAAACTGATTTTCAAACAAATTTTCGCTTCAAAGGGTTCTTGGTTTTGTGATAGAGTACGCTTAAATTTCTAAGCTTTTGCGTGACGCACCATTTACATGACGGCCGAAAGAGCTGTCATTTAGGATAAAAAAAAGTGACTTTTTTCGAGGAATTTATTGCCATCTAAACAGTTCAAGTGTTAGAAAAAGTAATACTGTAATGTTTATGAGTTCCTCTAGGTGTAAATTCACGCTTTTGTAGCAAAACTCATTAACAGATGTTTCTGTTGGTTTCCGTCTTCCATGTTGGAGCTCATCCGGATGAGCTCCAGCATGGCGTCTCCATACAAAGCTCTATAAATATGGGTAAAAAATTTCCTCAGATATCTCGTATACGAGTTATTCCTTTCGACCCAAATCTTGGCAAGGGTCTTTGTATTTTTACCTCCTTTCATTTCCCAGATTCTGCACTTTATCCGTCGAATGGTTTTGATTTATATTTTGATCTATTTTGGATGGCGTGACATTGAAAACCAGCAATATTTCGGCTGGCCATACCAGCCTTCGAGAACAGACGTTTTCTTCGCCTTTTTCGGGAAAGCAAAGGCAATTTGTGCTATCCCGAGAAACGCGCCAAAAAGCGCTTGTTGTGCTGGCTAAAAGCTTGCTGCTCATTCGTGTGTTCTCTGGCAGCATGCTTCGCTTACCACCCAGTGACCACTCGAAGGGAGAGTTGGTTCCCTCTACTTCCGCTCCTGGCCCGCGCGACCTATTCAAGTGTTATCACAACAAAAAACGGCAGCTTTCAATTTTTTTTTTAAATTCGTAGCAGCGAGTTAAGCGAAGACGTTTCATACCATTTTCTATATAGTTTGTCCTAATAACGGAGAATTACAACATCGGGGATTTACGAATTCAAGGTAGACAGTCTATCTCGTATTAAGTAATGGTCCAGCTAAGAAGCAGGCAGAAAAACAATAGCCCGCGGCAATAGCGTCAGTTATTTTTCAGGTGCTAATTTCTCTAATCAAATTAAATCTGAATGCTCTGATTGGTCAATACAGCGAAAAGCGCGAAATTTGAATTTGAAAGTTGAATTAAGATAGCTTAAGACTCATTCGAACAACTTTTTATTTCGTCTATTGCTTTGTTATGTTGAAAAATACAACATATCTAAAATTTAAAAGATTTCTATGCGCCAAACCCGAGGAAGTTAAACTGATATGAAATTACACGAAGATGAGCACAGTGTTACATCAATCAGCGACGTTGGGAACAACATTTACGTCGGCTCTCACAAAAGAAATGTCAAAACCATGATCGTAAACAGCAGCAATTCACTCTCACGTGGCGAATCTGGCGAACGCGCCAATGTCGCGCGTTCATATTCGGCCACCATACAGAACAACAACAAGTACACAAAATCAAATCCAAATGTTATCTAAATGTTCTGCTTTTGGAAAAAAAAAGGGAGGTTGCCCAGATAGAAAAAATTCCTGCATGTTCGGATAATCGGGTTTCAGAAAAAGCTCTCCTACAGTTTATCTGTTTTCAAGGTTTTGATATTACTCTATAAAAATCCTTCTTACAATCTCTCTCGTCCTTGGAAAAAATAAAGGCAAGCTACAGTCGTGCTCGCTAGATCTTCCGTACCAAGAGAAACTCAAACACCAGTGACAGCTATTTATGATACCTAAGCGGCTTCCGTCTCGGTATTCTCCGTCTCAGAACTCAAAGGTACAAAATGCAAACGTGTCACAAATTTCAATTCGCTCATTTTAACTTAAGGTCCACGGCGAACTTCCATTTCGCTTGATGAAGCAGTCTAGAGAGAAAAAAAATCGAATGAAAGATGGGTAAAGATACACGGAATATGGAAGTTTCGAAAGGGGCAAACACATGAATAACACATAATGCGCGCGGAGGTGCGAAAATCTATTGAATTCAGCTTACCTCAAGCTCAAGTGTTCTACATCTCTTCGAGAAATAAATTCATCCTTGTAAAAACAACAAATCTTTCGCTTTCTCCTTTTATGCCCAGCTGTACTCCAATTTCTAGTGCCACAATTATTCTGATCTCCTCCTGATCCGGCCTGACAACGAAAACAACTACGCCGGGCCCAAATTCCCACATGGCGACTCGGCATGTCGAGGACGGCAGCAAACCATGTTTAAGAGCATTTTGACGATCACTCCGATGATAAAATACAGTAAATTTGAGATAAATATTCAATAAAGAAAAAATGCAGATTTTTCACGAAGAAATTGACGAGATTTCTTCGGGTAAAAGACAAATTTCCTAACATCTCAAGTGTCACACTAAGATGGGGTCACAACAAGGTCGCGCGTGTGTTGCACGTTTTCCGCTCTAACTTTTGATTGGCGCATAGAACAATGCTGAAACTTGGCCGTGAGGTATAAGACAGGGGAATGGGGAAAATAAAGCTAAAAAAAGGTGTTTTTGTCACGTTTCTGACTGTTTTTTTGGCGATTTTTGGATTTCGGCCAATCAGAACGCTTGATTTAATTGAAATTAATGATTAAAAGTTAGCACCTTTTAATCACTTTTGCCGTTCGCCTGCCTACCTCTTACACGGACCATTACTTAAATTCTCATAACCAGGGGAAATTAGATCCAGCCGCTCTTAACTTAGTCGCACGTGACTTCGGTCAGCTTCGATCAGAAATCGTGGGTATTTGCCATTTGAAAGCGCTTTGCGCAAATAGTCAAAGGAAAGCAAATCATTGCAGTTAGAGTTTCTAGCTAGGTATTTTACAGACATAACGATCAACGAAAATTGAAAAATAGTGATGGCGTATTGGAAAGAGATGCTGTTGGTTTACTTTATAGCTTTCCACAGAATTTCAGCGGAAGGCAAGCGGAAAGAAGGTAATATACGTATGTAAAACTTTAATGATCTCCTTTTTTCGCTTTCGTTGTAACTTACATAATTTATGAATCGAAAGGGAAAAGGAGAGACAGGGATAACTTTATCGAAAGAATCCCATTAAGTTGGAAAGAGCTGCAAAGCTCGGACATGCACTTCCATTGACAACTCTGCCATCAAATTTTTGAAAATGACATTTGGAGACGGTCAGTTTTGATCGTAGAAATCAGCGGCCCTGCAAGCAGCTTATTCGGATGCCTTCGTGCTCACTATTCTCAGTTTACAAGTGAACTATTTTATTTTGGCAACACAAGGCGAGGGAAAAGACATACAGTGTACATGAATACGCAAACTGCGGTGAATCAAGACCTACCTCGGGGTTGCTTTTGCTTTGTGAAATTTAAAACTTCTAAGCCGGGGCGTAGGTCAAGATTTTTAATGGCGTGATCCCAAATAGACACGTAATCAACCACGAATTGAAGCAAACAGAACAGGCCCTCTCTCGTTGTTCTGTCACAAATATTACTTATTAAAAGAAGGCTAAAGCAATCTAGAGCACTAGTAGTCCCTCATATCGATCGCGTGCGCGAAAATATCCACCCCTGAGGAAGGAAGCCCTAAGGAAATGTTGGACTACTCCCCTGGGACTTCCCATAGACCTTTTCGACGCCATCCTGACGAGTAGGCAAACGCGTGAGAAATTACAGTGTTTGTATTAGAATCTAATATCAAATAATTTCCGTAAAACGGCTGTTCTGAAAAAAAAAACAAAAACAAAAACAAAAACATATGTATTGTAAACTAAAGCTTTACTCCTAACGATTCTAATGAAAAAATTTGAAGGGCATTACAACTGCAAGCGAAAGGGCCACTTTTGAAATTTCGGCCATATACATTTGATTGCAGACAAATATATGAAAAATCCAAAGCAAGCGTCTGGAGAAATTCAAGCACAGTAACTGCCCCGAAAATTTGTTAGTAAAATCCTTTGCTGTGTAGCTTGAGTTTACCATTCATATTTTTTTCAGAACAGCCGTTTTACGGAAATTATTCGACATTAGATTCTCATACAAACACTGTAACTTCCAACCTATTTCCCAGGGTTCTCTCCTACGTAGGTCGGGTAGGAGAGAACCCTGGGAACGAGGTTGTGTAACTTCTCACGCGTTTTCCTACTCGTTAAGATGGCGTCGAAAACCGTGACAAGGTCTTTTATGTAAAAGCGGAGTGTACTAGTGTTACGATGGGAGCTATAATCGTGGACGGAGACCGTGTTATCAAGAAATTCCTGTTATCAAATACCATTTTCAGTAAAGGGTTTGGCTCCATCGCAACCGCCAGGGACGGGTAGGAGAGGACTCTGGGAACGTGGTTGGTTCCATATCGAGAGAGAAATTGTCAGATGTGTACCCTGGGTGTCAGACGTTTTTTCTCGCGCGCAGCGAAGCCGCGAGAAAAAACCTTACGCGTGGGTCATTTTTTAAGACATTCTCGACCCCAGAGCTATTCTGCGCATGACGGCCAAGGAGGGAAGAGCTCTGGGGAACCCTGGAACAAGATTGTCTCCGATTGGTTTTAGCAAAAAAAAAACAATAAAAGTGTTTCTGATTGGTCCATTCAAGTTTCCACGAGAGCGGTTGTTGAACGTGTGGCGTGTCTGCATGTGAGTGGGTTTTTCCCTAGAAATGTTGAAGTAAACACGCCCGGACAATTCTTGATTTCAGCGATTCCAAAACAACATTTAGTCGACTAATTAGGCAGAATACCGGATTCCTCAACTTTCAAATAAAATACATATCGAAAATTGACCAAGAAAAAGATTTGAATGTGAAAAATAAGATTTAAATACACCGACATCTTTGCCAGCTAACATTTAAGAAGCATGACACATAACTGATTTTTCTTCATATCGAAAATTGACCATCGACCATTTTTCTTCATATCGAAAATTCGACATATCGAAAATTGTGCAAGAAAAAGATTTGAATGTGAAAAATAAGATTTAAATACACCGACATCTTTGCCAGCTAACATTTAAGAAGCATGACACATAACTGATTTTTCTTCGACTTCCTCGTTATCGTATTCACACCAAGTAGCCGTCGGAAATTGTCCTGGGCAGATTAAGAATTCCGATTCTCTCATCATTTTTCCTTTGGAACTTGAGACAGTGACTGAATGTGAGGAATGTGAAAGTGATTCCAACGATGATAATGGAAGTATTTTTGCCCACAAATCCATTGACGAAGAGTCTCGGAGATGTCGAGGAACCTCCACTAGATTTCAACAAAACGTGACGGCTTAAAATAGCAAGCAAAGCAGTTGATGAAAACGACATTGACCTCTTTCTCTTGAACTGAAAAAGGCAACAACTTTAGTTGCATTTCTCTTCTATGTTTCTAGGGTACATTTTGTGCAATGTTTTTATGTATCACTATGTTGAATCTTTTTGCTAATTTTAGCGATATCAGAGTATTAATGTTGGAAATGCTTGGCACCTAAATTGGTGAAACGCCACGTTTTCGAGTTACAATCTTAAACATATGATGTAAATTGCTGACAACAGCTACTGTAAATCATTTGTAAATATTTTGTAACTTAAAATTCCAATGTATCTCTTACCTTATTACCGGAATTTAACGCTCCATGCTTGAAATTAGGGTTTTCGAAATAAGCTGGTATTTTTTTGATCGCGAATGAACGAATGAAGGTAGTAACGCCATTGCTTATTTTCAAATCGAGAGGGGCTGGGTATGAGTCAGTTTATTATGGGATAAACAACACGAGACCCAAACAGTCAGAAAGAGCACATTGAAATTAGCAACATTCTCAAGTTTGGTGTTTATCGGGCCTATATTGAACGAGATACAGCCATTGGGTAACCTTTCAAAATAGATTATCACGGCGAGCCTATGGCCAAGCTAAGCTTGGAACTAGTTAAGTCTCCTCAGTCACACACACGTACTTGCGAGAGGAAAATGCCTTCGTATATGTTTACACTTGCCTTACAGTCCATAGTATGTTTCATTTGGTAATGTTACCCGTAGTGGTTGCCTTGCGTATAAGTTAGTTATGTACCCACCCGCCAACCCCTGGGGCAATAGTCTGCTACACAGCCGTTTTTAGTGTCGTCACGCAACGCTCCTCTTCACTAAGGAGCGTTGCGTGACGACACTGAAAACGGCTGTATAACAGACTACTGGGGCAAGAACACGTTACGAATTGGCTGAATAATATGCACTTCATGTATTTTTATCTTCCAGAAAGTGCAAAAAAGCTGTACTGCTTCCATTGTAAGTCGGAAATTTCTTGGGATGACTGTGACAAGTCAAGCGTGCAAAAAGGTTGTTTAAACGATCACGTCTGCCTTAAATTAACAGCGCACAGGTGGGAGACGACGAATGGAACAAAGACAGGTCGTGTTCTTCCTTTTTATGCAAGGTATTGCTCCCCACCAGAGGGTTGCTCTACAAAACAATGCGAAGATATAAGCTGGAATTGTCAGATAGTCTGCTGCAACCAACACATGTGTAATGCAAGCAATTCCATTTGGTTAACCAAGATACTCTTTGTTGCTGTCCAGGGCTTAGCGATTCACAAGATGTTAACTACATATTGAACAGGAAACTCGTAAAGTATTCATTTACGGGGGGACGGGGGTGGTGGTAAACAGTGGTGGATCAAGGGCTCAGGGCCCCCACCTTATTTTGAGACCAAACTGAGACCCGCAAAGGGCCAAGAAAAATGGATTTGAAACCGGTCCCCCTCTTATCTCAAAAAGGAGGGGACAGGGTTCGCTTACTAAAGATCAGAATCCGCCACTGGTATTAAAAGGAAAACCATCATCCATACTTTGATATATAAACAATTTATTATGTATAATGTCATCTTACTATTTACAGTTTCTGTTTGTAATCAAACCACCGTAGAAAAGTGTTGATAATGGCGGCAAATTGAGAGAGGGTTTTATAGTTTTCGTCCTTGTGTCCGGAAAAATTTTTGAAATTTCGCGATACGGTAGTTTTGCTTACGTAAATTCCACAAAAGTAAGTAACCATAATAAGTCTGGTGAACTTGGGAGTGTATCGTGTAGTAAGTAGTTTGTGTTCTGGTATTGGATACTCTTTTATATGGCTGTCATGTTTTCGCCTAATGGAAAAAGTCGAATTTTTGCTTCTAAATGATTTGACTAAATTGTAAGTTAAAGCGTTTTATCTCGTAACTATAGCAACCGAATGCCACTAAGGTAAAGGGACTGTAGGTCATATATGGCTAAGGGGGGATGACCGGTGTTTAAAGAGTGTCACGTTACCTTGACTCTCTATAAACCGAACACCTCCATGGGCACTTACTGCAGGTACTTAAACCCTTTAAGAGACTGGTCATGAGAATTACGGACATGGTCACACAAGATGAATGTGCTTGATATTTTCTCAACTTCTCCCCACTACTTCTGTAGGAAATAAATAGGGGCAGCAAATAAGAATTCAAATTTTGATCTTAGGGTTTAAAGGGTTAATGAACAGGCACCAAGGAGAAGAGGCTTTGCCTCGAAGACGCTTTGAGAAAAAGCAAGAATTCTTTGGGAGGGGGGCTTTGCGCTAGTTCATCCTGGTTAAGTTATAATAAAACATACCAAATAAGGATTCTAGAGATTAGATTTAAGGCAGAATCCGTTTATAAATCCCGATATCATTATATCTGGATTTTGACTCTTTCGGAGAAAACGAGACTTACTTTTTCCATTAACGGTATCTCTTGGCAACACGCAAACAATAGTAGCTACCAAAATTTAAAGCAAACACTGTATGCGTAAGATAGGTACAAGATTAAACATATTGTAGCTTGATATTGTATCTGTCTTGGAAACGTTCGCCAACTCTAAAGCTGTTCATGATCAGGAACACTGAGTTATAAAGAGGCTTGGGATGCACTCAGTAGTACTTCACTAACTTCACCATAAATGAGGAAAGAATGATTCCTAGCAGCTATGAGGAAAGAAAAAAAACGTGAGTGCAACGGAAACGCCCCTCAAATGACCGTTGGTGACAACAAATAGGCCCTCAATTTGTCCAGGAATTGTTGAGCGAGCGAAATGTGTGAGCGCGCGTGAAAATCACCACGCACAAAGAGAACCGGGGCGCTGAGGAAGGAGAGATTTCTCTCTTCCCTGCGCGTGTCACTTTCCATGCGGCTGGCGATTTTCACCCGCGCTCTCGTATTTCGAGCTACTATCTCTGAGGGAGAAAAATAAATGGGGGTTAAATCGTAGTCTACTTGCGTCCGACCATACTTGGATCGTAGAGACATTGTGAATTCTAAGAAGGGAACGACTACGAGAACGATGATTATTATCTCAATATTTATTAGTATGCGCACGTAACCCGGCTTTATTTTGGCGGGAAAACGTGATATCCGTCGTTATTCTACTACGGGTTTTGGCGAAAATATCGTGGTAACGGAACAAGTTATAAAATGCCAGAAGTTATCATTTTCTGATCGGGAGAGGGCTTAACCTCCTTCAATAAAATTGCGGTGTAAACTTTTTTAATGAACAAATATAAGTAAAAAATATGAAGCTTTCCTAGATGTCTATTTTTGTGGAATAAGTGAAAAAAAGAACTTTAAGTCAAATCCCCTCAAAAGATTTTCTACTGTCTATGGCCTTACAGGGAAGTGCCGTGGCGAACTTCAAAGCGAAGCACAAATTAGATGTCAGTTCCCAGTCAAGAAAACACTCTAACGCGTGGAACAGCCAAAGTGGCGCGCCGAAAACAAAAAACAGTTCTATAAAAAACGCGATCAGGGGTGCGCCCTTCAGACGCAATAATTATTTTTCCACAGCCATATTGTCATGCGTTGATCTGAAAGCTTTTCCATGAAGTTTTCAGTTTTTTACTTACTTGAAAAGCACTTAGAAGTATTGCTATCAATCCCAAAATAAACACATTTCTGCGGAAATACTCGCTTAGCTGTGAAATGCATCCCTGCAGAACAAAATATGAATACATTATTAAGTTATGATAGAAATGTGATGGCGAATTTTCATCTAGGTGAATAAATGAGAAAGAAGTTAAATCAGTCAGTGACACGGGCGGCTCAGAGGAAAAATCCGAGAACTCCCGACAGAGCCGAACCGATGACCTTCTGGTTACTATTATTAGGTAATAAAGAAAGCCCGTTACTATATGTTATCTAGGACAAAGAAACAACGTTTTTGGGAAACTGCCCACCTACCCCTCCCCCAAGCCAAAATTTGCTTTAAGTGTTAAGTAAGTTTTAATATTAACTTAAGGGAGGGATAGGTGGTCATTTTCTCAGAAACCGGGGTTGCGTTCGATTGGGAAATCCGCATTTCGGATTTTGCAAGCGAATGCCTCAGGGTGGATTTCAATCAAGACATCCAAATCCGAATTTTATGGATTTCCTTTTTTATCGTTCGATTGGGAAATCCGCAGAAGGATTTGCAAAACTATTCTCGTAAACAGCGGTCTTCTTTTTACTAATTATGCGTGCGCGTGCAAGACCGCTATTCTTTAGGGCAGTTTTTCAAATCCTTTTTCGGATTTCTCAATCGAACGGTTAAAAGGAAATCCAAAAGCGTATATCTCAGCGATGAAATCCGGTTTCAATTTTTACATTCGATTGCAAATCCGAAATCTGAATTTTCAAACCTAATTCCAGGTTTCCCAATCGAACGCACTCCTGAATTGATCCAAAACGTCTTGGTCACGTTAGACGACAAAATAAAAGAGATCACTTGAAAAGGACTGCAAAAAGATAGCTAAAACCGTTTACTTTATTACTGAAAACATCTTTAATTTAGTACAAGTTAAGCACCAGTGATGATGATGATGACGATGATGATGATGATGACGATCATCATCATCATCACTATCACTATCATTGTCATTTCAAAGGTAACGACAAACCCTAACCTGGCGGTAAATGTTGGATGGGTGATCTCTCCTCCCGCATGCTGGTGTTATTGTCTTGCAGCACGAGTTCGGAACGGACAAATTCTCATTTTCTGGCATCTGTTTCCACGAAGTGGTGTTCCAAGATGCATATGAAAAACCACCGCAGCATTTCAGCTACAAGAAGAACGTTAACAGAACACAACATGCTATGAGAGAAAATTGCTCCCATGTGAACAAGGCATGTATCAGAATACTACTGGACCTCAGGCGAACCCAAAATTAACGGTGAACAAAGGAGAGGCTAGTATTTTACATTCCTCAACCCTTGGTCGTCTAAGGGGTGGGGTTGAAGCTATAACCCAAGATTGCTTTTTTAATTGATTTTTTTGTGTGAAAGGTTTGAACCCAGGAGTCATCATGATTATGGTCCGAGTGAACATAGTCGTGAATAGGACTGTTGTTGTTGACAGTGAGTACGTTTTCTACCGCACAGGTTGTCGAAACGTCAGTCTCTGTCAACAACAACAGTCCTATTCAGGACTACGTTCATCACGACTCGGACGATCATACTCAAACTACTTATGATTTTTTTTTAATGATTTCGAGTCAGAACCTTTCTTCTGATGACCTTCGGTTGCTATGGACATGGAAATGATGCCCCCTTTATACTGTCTTGATAACATGAATTTAAGCCACCTTTCGAAAAGATGTGGTTTTTTTTTAAACACTTTTTTGTATGCAAAACAGCACTTAAGCACTAATTTTTCTTAATAGCATATTTTAGACCTTCCCTTTAGGCACAAAAATGCTTCGGTTCCAAGCTATCAGAGAGGTCTTATCTGGCAGCAAGATGAGTGGCTATTTCGAATTACGCCATTGTTCCCATCATGTAAAGCTCAACACAGTATGTCTTCAAGAAATTTTGTCTCGCCATAACATTAAACCACAGAGAAAACCCCCTTCCTCCCGCCTTGTACCATGGAGAGACGTTCACCAGGTCACTCACCCGATCCATCCTAAGTTAACACCTCGCAGGTCATGATTTTCTGGACTTACATTTTGGTGTAAACTGTCAAAGGATTTGGTGACGTCATCTGATGAACCGTATTCATTCATTCTGGTCAATGCCGTTTTATCCAGTTCCTCCTCAATCTAGTTTTAAAAAGAATATAATTGAAGAGAACAGAATATAACATTTTGTTCACTTATTGGGCAAACCGAGTAATTCGGCCTGTCGGCTTCCAGATAATTCCAGCCTCTTGATTATTCTTATATATAAAACGCCTCCTCCTTGGCCATGCCCACACTATTATGTTTTCCATCGGAAACGTTCCTATTTGGTGTTTAACAAAACAAATTAAACGGTCTTCGTATTTCAGGGTAAAACTGGCGACCAGAACAGCGGACAATAAAGGGAGGCTGCTTCTGGGGCGGAGAGACATAGTGTGAATGAGTTTGAAACAAAACAAAATTAAATTAAACCAAGGATAAAATTGGACCACGATATCTGTAATAATAGCCTGCGAATACAGCCGTTTCCACTCGCTCTTCGCCGCTAGGGACGTTTCGCGAGGAGGAAGTCTGCGACCCAGCTACAGAAATTCCATACTGATGACGTAAAATCTGTCCGGAATCCGGTCATAAGCGCTGATTGGACGATGGAGTAGTTACATTGTTGTAGCTATTGTTTACGAATGACCGACAAAAGACAAAAGGCCACAAAGGTCAAATGTAAACGCGGGGAATCCATAACAAAAAAGTCAATATTTGTGGAAAATATTCTTCTGTAGAAGAGGCATTTGAGTTTTGCTGGAGCTCGTTCACAGATGAACACAATTTTTTACCAAAATCAGGACCAGGAGAAACGTAAATTAATTGAACAAATTTGCATTTGGACCCCTATGACTACCGGATTTATTATGTAAACATTGATTTACGTCATCAGTATGGGATTTCTGTCGCTGAGTCGCAGACGTTCTTCCATGCAAAACGTCCCCAGCGGTGAGGTGCGAGGAGAAACAGCTGTTTTCGCAGGATAGCAGTAGTGCAGCCTCTCCTCCCTCCCCCCAACTAATATCTCCTCTCCCCTACCCCCTATCTTCCACTTCAGATCCTTAGGAACGTACATAAAGTGAAATCTTTTCACTCCCAGCCTCTTCTCAGACGTTTTTTCTTTAATTCCCCGCGCTGTTGCTGGTAAGGTGTTCGCGTGAAGTTGGGTTACGCGCATGCATGAGACAGTAAGAAGATGACCTCACAACGCATGTGAAGTTTTGATTGTATTTTTAAACTGGAAACCGTCGTTTAAGCAAACAGAACACAACAGCGCATGAGCAAGTGTGAGCCAGTCCTTACCTGATCTCTGTGTAAAAAAGCCACAATTCCGACTGCACATTCGATGAAAAAGATAAGCGTTAGCAGGATCAAAAACTGCAACATAATTTAAAAACGATTAAAGGAAATGAAGCTTATAAACGTTTTAATCCCAAAGGACAGGATTACTGAAAACTATCACTGTTTGACCCTCATCAGATGGGGCCGCACATGGTGGTTCCAGATCGCCGCTTCATTTGCTCGAATGAAAGCTTACAGGGATAAATAGATCATAATTTGTAATTGTAGACCACTTTCGAAGTATGGCCATTTTATGCGCGCAAGGATTGATGGGATGGATCAAAGCAATGTCACGTGATATATACTGATTATGAGGCAAACAACTTTCTGTACTTACTGAGGTAAGGAAGTATCTGTGCTCTTTGACGATTCCATAGCAACCACAGACTGAGACAATTATGATAAGTCCTCCTGTTCCAATCATAAGTCCAACGATAATAAGGAACCAAGAACTTCCCAAAAGTACATTGTACTCACTTTCGAATAGTAGCGTCCAGGTTCCTATTATCACCAGCGCTATTCCACTTAGCTGAAAAAGACAAATGCTACTTTACTGCAGACCCGTTTCTCAAAGAAGTAATATGGACCTTTTGCTCTAAGACTTAATTACTTGAGGTGTAATCATATTTGGCCACAGGCTCTCGGTCACTAAAGGTATCTTTTGCGCTTGCCCTGTGTTCCGCTGCGTTGCGACATTGCGACAGGCTCATAAATTCGAATTGTTTCCGAATCGTTCCCAATAGCAGCTGAGTATGCAGTGAAAGCAAGATGTAGATAATTAAAAAACGCTATGCAAGTTTTAAGTGTACCTTTAGGAACCTTTGGCCAGTTCGAGGACGTCGAAGAAGACAACAAGGACGAGATTTAATTTTAATTTTTTTCGCGCGTTCTCAAAAAATGGACACTCCGGAAACATTTTTTCCATCGGAAAAGTTAGCAAGGTTATTTTTATTGAAGGAATTTAAGCCCTCTCCCAAACGGAAAATGATGAAACTTCTAACATTTATAAACTTGTTTCCGCCACTACACGCCATTCTCACTAAAACCCGTAATAGAATGACGATGGCTATCGCGTTTTCCCTCCAAAATGATACTGATTCATAAGCGCTCAATACATAACTTGTATTGAGAAAATATCGCCCTAGTTCTCGACTAAGAATCTAAGGGCCAGTTATTGAGTCAACTGAAAATTAAAGGGAACATTTATTATGTCAGAAACCCGTAATACCGCATAAATACCGTTTTGGTCGTTTGAAAGTCGACAAAACGCGAAGCTATTGCATGCAAATGAACTATCACAATCAATAATTGTTCGAAACTGCAACAGAACAATGCTGCTATATCACTCTCTTAATTTCATGCGCTCGTGATTGGTGGTCCATTTATGATGAAAAGAGGGATAAACACTATGTTTAAGTTTCGTACAAGTGTGTAATGACTCTTATTATTCAACAACTAGATAAAAGCTAATTAAATATCCGCTTTTTGGCAACACCGCTAACAGTTCAATAACACAAAGAATGGAGGTTTCATTACGCCTGCGCTGAGTTGACGCAAGACCTCGGGAAACATCCAGATTTCATAGCGGTAAATTGTGGGAGACCATATGGTAGCTTAAAGGGACTGGTTCACGATAATGCGCATGCGCGCCGTTTTTCTCTTCAGAATAACTTTGTTGGGTCAACACTAAATTCGAAATCGCCATTACCGGTACAATTTTTGAAAATCCTTCGTTTTATTCGGACATCCGTCGCTTTCGCTGGTCTAGTTATACTTCGGTAGTGGTGATTAACGTGTGGTTGTGTCGTTTGACTGGTTACGTTTTAAGAAGACGCAAAAAATAATGTTTTGATCATGAGGTTCAAAAGAGCATCGTGGCCGTCCGGCAACAGGACGTTCTCAAGAGTCTTTGGAGATAGAGAAGCTTAGCCTATCGATCTGGTATGGTTCTAGGAGTAGTGTGTGGCTTACGAAAAGAATACAGGACACTTGGAAAGTGGTTAAAGGCATGATTTCGTTCAACTTTGATTTGATTTTTGACTCCGACCTGTAGTTATACCGCAACAGGCCGCGCGATCTTCACCGAACTGGTACACTTGAAATGTTCCTTGTATCTTTGCTTTACCATCGTATATGTTTAAGAATTGATGTTTTTAAAATAAATTATTGCCTGAATATTCTGTTTATAATCTAGTTTCTTTATGTGTGCTACTCGATAACATTTGTTTTGCGGAACACTGACCCGATGCAACGCGAATGAATTTGTTCATTTGCTGATAAGCAATTGAAATTTATGCTCAGTTAAGGATAATCTTTATACTCATACGTTGTGTGCTTTTGTCACCGGTCAAGCGCTATTTGTAGGTATTTCTGGGTTTATATAAGGCGAACTGAGAGAACAGTAATAAGATGTTTGTTTACAAATTTTGTTTGCCGATCGGTGACCGCTTTGTTAGCGTGGATACGACCTCGTAAAAAATACACGTTGGTAAATGTTTGTTTCAAAGCAGGACAGGGCTGTAAATTTTATTCTTATCGGCTGCAACATATATCTGAGGAGTAGCAAAGAATAAACTTGAATTATGGGGATAAATAAAATCAAACCAAATGCCCGGAAATACTCTCGCGTCGCGAACAATTAATTTGAATTTTGTAAATTTACTTGCGTGCATTTAACTCGCTTCCGATTGGTTGAAAAACAATCAGCTACTGCCAGAACTCACACATGCGCATTATCGTGAACCAGTCCCTTTAAGCTTCGTCCCTAACACCACAAATAGTTTTGGTGGATGATTGTGTGATCGTCTCTTCTCAAACTCATTAATAATTCATTAAGAAAATACAAAGGAAATTAATGTTTAATGAGTGTTTGGAAATCGGATGAAACACTGCTTAGTATTTGCATCCTTAATTTCTCCTTCAAAAATGATTTTTTTTGAGAAGAAATATCAAACATTCGAGACAGTGTTTCATCACCAGATGAAACACTGCATCTCATGTTTGATATATTACTTCGCAGGGACGTCTCGGTGTCTAGAAGTTTTCGGAGTAACTTCATTATCCCATCTTTAGATCAGATCGTCAAGGGTGCGTAAGAACATAAAAACCGCGGGGAATTTACTGACCCCAGCCCAAGGAGCTCGGTAGGGGGAAGTGGGTAAAGTTTTCTTATTCTTTTTTTTTTTCGCTCTTCTCGCTCGTTCTCGCACGCTCTCTTCTCTAACGTGCTCGCAAAATTCGACGAGTGTGTAAGTTGGGAAAGTGGCACGGAAGGTCATCTAATTATCAATCGAATTAAGTGTCTCTAGTCTCACAGATTATTTGTTTACACTCATTATATTAGTCTCTGCGTTGCTCTCCCAAGCTAGCCTGCGTAGCTGGCGGGACTTGCAGGCAAATGCTGTAGTTTTTTGGCGGCGTAACCGCGTGTGGCATGCAAAAGGTGTCTATCTCACGGCTCTTGACTAGTGGTTTCACCACTCGCGTATTACGCTTGCCACTTTTACCCGAGGCCAAAATTACTGTTCAAGGCGGTTGTATGTTCGGCTACAGGGTGAGTTTGTTGCCACAGAAAACACTTCACAGTAGTGACAGAAAAACAATATAAGTTTTCCGGTTTCGTCTTTCCTGATTTAATTAACAAGTGAGTCACTTATTAATAACCGACAACGAACGAAAATAGCATTTGCAACAATTGATCGTGACAGGTTTCTAGTTGCGGCATGTTGTTGTTCATGTTGCACGTGAGAGCGATACTACGATCACGCAACAGCATGACATCTGTGCGAAATAACACAGTTTGTATTTCATATGTTTTGATTTTCAAGAACACACAGAAAAATAAGATGATCAAACTGGAATTAGCTAAGCTATCTTTGATGTGTTTCTATCCGATTACATTGATTAAATATTTACGGAGAATATTCCTGATTCGAGTCATCATCTTAGTATCGTTTTTTTTCTTTTTATGTTGATACCTTTAAAATGTCTAGAGGGAGATCAGGTACGCGTCGGCCGTTTGATGAAAAAGCGATTTATTGATGAATCAACAGAAAATAATAGAAAAATACAACCTCTGGGTGCCAATGATTAACAAATATGAAAAACCGAAATATTATTAGTTGTCTTCCAAAATTGGTTAAAACTATCAATAACAAATTTTATATATTTTTTTCTCAGGAGCCTATTACCCTGGTCCTGTTTTGTTATAAATCATTAGACGAAGAACATTTGATTGATTCACATGTCACATAATAATTGGTTGTTCCGTATTATCAGGTATGAAAATATACAACATAACCAATTACTATATATCACCCACGTCAGGGGTAGCTTTTTAAATTGGAATACGACTCAAGAGATCCTTAACTAACTCTCGCATTTTTGTGAATAAAATGGACAGTTTCTTATCGACATTCTTGAGATGGTTCCAATCAATTATCGTAGAATGGTGCTCAAATCATGGTGAATTAAAGTCGTGTTTGCTTACGTACATGCGTGTAATTCTTACCCAGTAAAAGAAGGTGAACATGTGCATTGGAACTTTCAGACATCTCACACTACAACATCTTCTTGTTTTCTTCTTCTTTAGTGATAGGTTTCTCCATTCAGAATAGTCTGCGGGCACCATGATGGCTCGGAAACGAAAATAACTTTTAAAGGCGTTGGAGAGATTCCCGGGATTACATGGAACGGGTCGTGACACTGTTCAACTAACAGAATGTAACAAGACCCCCGATGGGTGATTTTCAAGACTTTGGATTCAAGCTATTTGGGAGAAAACAGACTTGATTCCTAACTAACAATACTGCAAAAGAAATGACGTTATAATTGTCTCCATGCGAGGGATTTTTACTAAAAGAAGTAAACTAAATATCACAAAGGAAACCGATTCGACTCACCTTAGAGCAGTTTTTCCTTACTTTTTTGACAAAACCGATGTAAGATAGGTTTAAGACTATCATTGATCAAGGTGTAAATTCCCACTACCACTGAACATAGTTCATGACACACAATATACACAAGCTATAGTCATCATTTGAAGTGGTATGATACTCCATAATCCTATAAAATAAGAGAGATAACATGTCTCCAAAACAGTATATGGTTTCCGGAATGTAGGCTATTGTAGCGATGCGGCTTCCTTTGTCTGCTAACCTCGTCTATACTTTGTCTGAATAGCCAGTATCATCAGCCATACCCGTACCAAGGGTTCATATGGTCAGAAGAACAGAGAGAATTGAACCCATCAACGTAAGGGTCTAATTTATCGTTACCGACATAACCTCAGCCCGTCCTCTTCGCATGTACAGATCAGCGAAATATTTGTTTCTCAAATTCTCGAAATAATTCAGAAGAACTGTATTGCACCCCGACAGAGCAGTTGAATTGAAGATGTTTATCAACGACGCCAACCTGGCATGCAGGCAGGTAGGTCAAGGTTTTTATTTTTGTGGTTTACAAGAAGCCTTGTTTTGGTAGGCCATGCGTGCCTTAGACTGCAAAACAGTCCGTATTTTCGCGTATTCAGGTAAGCGCGAGCAGTCCAACAAAAGGTCTGGAACGAGGCTGAAAACGGAAAGTGAGACTGGGTACGGGTGTGTGAGGCTGCGCGCGTAAGACTCTTAAGCCACGCTTTACCGATTTTTTTACTGATTTTGCGAAAAAAACCCGACTGTTTTGCAGTCTATACTTGCCTGCTAACGAAGACGTAATTCCGACAGTCGCTTCTCTCCACCAGAATAGAGAGGAGCGACGATCGAAAATGTGTCTGAGGGGAGGGGGGGCACTGATACAGGCTAGACGTTTCGCTCGTTCCCGGCTCTAGCACCGGCTCTAGCAGGCGGCGGGCAGCGTACGGAGAAGCGGCTGTATTCGCAGGCTTCGAAAATCTTAGACGGCTGTGTGCGTCCAAAAACTTAAATTCCTCCTTGTTCGTAATATCAATGCTTTGCAAAACAGAGTGGTCATTGGAATTACGGACATGATCACACAAGATGAATTTGCTTGATATTTTATCAACTTCTCCCCGCTACTCAGTGTTGGAAATGAATAGGGGCAACAAATGAGAATTCAAATTTTGATCTTAGGGTTTAAAGGGTTAATTAAACAGACTCGACTCCTCATCTCCATCAGCTATGTTGCGTTACACTTTTTTTTCTCTATAAGAATTAGAATGTCGAGGCTGAAATTTAATTTTGCAAAATCTTATTATGATAAGAATAAGCCCGAGGCTGAAAAGGATATAACTTTATGTGTTGAAAATCTGTTAATGCAATACAATTATGTGTTTTCAACTTAACCTTGAAATTATTTCTTTCTCTCAAAGGCAAAACTAGCCACCAAAAGAAAAACAAGGTACCATTGCCATTAACTGTAATTTATACCCCAATACATATATTTTTAGCCTAAAATCGGTAGGAAAATAAGAATATTATATTCAGCCCGGACCGGAAAAACAACATTCTTATAAGATAAAAGAGTGTATCACATAAGCACATACGGTAACTGTATAATTTACACTAATCGTCCTTATCGCGGAATTGGAAACGCGCAAAAAGTTCAGCACAGTGTTCATCACTCTCTAAGCCTTATTGCAAAGCCTATAATTAGTAAATGATCGTGGTTGTGATCAGTTATCAAAAACATTTCAAGATCGTGAAGCCTTTTCATTTTCGACCCAAACCCGCCATTTTCCTTAAGGTTAGACACCCTTGATTAGAGAAGAATTCATCCAAGACCGATTAGTAACAAGAGCTTCCACTTAGAGGCTTGATGGTCGAATGATAGCAAATCCCCACCCAACCCCTCCCCCTCCATTCCCTGCCCGAGGACGAGAGGTAACTTCTTTCAAATTTGTTAAATCTTAACCTGGCACATATCGTTCGCCGTGATCGTCTAGTGGTTAGGACACTGCGTTGTGGCCGCAGTAACCCAGGTTCAAATCCTGGTCACGGCACTTTTCTTTCTTTTTTGTTTTTCTTCTTCTTTTCTTTATTTGTTTAGGATTCTACTTATGACAATAGAATCAAAAACGTTTCCATAAATTAAGGTACGAAGAGGCAAAGGCTAAGTTCTTTTTACTATTTCAACTTACTGGAAGAAAGAGATCATCTCAACCATAGCAGAAAAGTGCGCGATCCAGACAAACAAGCCAGATATACAGCACTAATAATAACATGACAAAAATTATACTTTAAATCTTTTCCTACCGGCCATTAGGAGTACAGACTTCACTATTTTGAGCTTTATGGGAATCTTTCTACCTTCAGTATCTATTCTCTCAGCAGGTAAATGACGGGTGGTCATTTCTGAAAATAAAACCAATGAATTTCTATCTCAATTCCATCGTCGCCGTGATCGTCTAGTGGTTAGGACACTGCGTTGTGGCCGCAGTAACCCAGGTTCAAATCCTGGTCACGGCACTTTTTTTCCGTTTCTATTTGTTTTTTTAATTTTATTTTCCTTTTAATATGTATTTTTACTTAGGATATCCTCTTGTGACAATGGAACTATAGACTTTTCTATTAAAGGTGCAAAAAGGCGAGTACTTTTTATTTCTTATTGCTTAGTATCTGAAAACAATATCAAATGGAGGGAAAGGGTTGCTACGGGGCAGGTTCAGGTACAGGTCCACGATTGCACGTGACGTCACGGCGACCATGTTGCTGGTGAAGCAGCAAAAATTATGCTGAAAATATCATTAGCAAGAATGCCACTATTTTGAGCAGTGGTAAGAATAATGGGAACCTGCCTGTATATATATATCTATCTTCAGTAACAGTTTTTAAATATTTCTACGGGCGTTTCCATTTCAAAGTGCTATATTATTGGCACAAAAATTAAAAAGAAAAACGACTTTACAATTTGACGGCGATGCGATTTCTTAGTGTTAGCTCTCAGCAGGTAAATGACGGGTGGTCTTTGCTGAAAAGTAAAAACCAATAAATTTCTATCTCAATTCCATCGCCGCCGTGATCGTCTAGTGGTTAGGACACTGCGTTGTGGCCGCAGTAACCCAGGTTCAAATCCTGGTCACGGCACGGTGTTGTTCTTTTTTTATGTTCTGTATCGACTAAAATTGCCTTATCATAAACAAAGGACTTTCTCTTTTGCCATAAATGAGAACATTACAAAATGGTTAGTTTCGGACCGTCCAAGGATGTCCAAGGAGCCACAAATCCAACGCCGAGTCCAAGACAAATATGTCCTTGTTTCATTTCACTTCATAGAGCGATTTTCGTATGACCTTGAAGTGAAAACGCGCGAACAAAACAAAAACAACAAACGAACGGAAATAAAGCGATTTGATTGGTTTATCGAACGGATACAAACGCGCGTGGCTTTTGGTTGGTTAAGCGAACGCTCGGCTGAAAAAACGTCATGCCCAAAGAACTTTCTAGAAATTGCTTTGACGTCATACTGCAGCGCGATTGGTCAATCGAACAATGCCTTCTCCATTTTAGGGTTTTCTTTGGCGGGAAAACGAAGAGTCCATTTTTTGTTCTTTTCATCCATTGGCTGATAAAATAAATAAAAATAATAAAAGATGACCATAGTTTAGTTCTCCTTAACAATGACTGTTAGTAGCGAAGCGCGCGCAGCGGAGCACCATTAGTAAGAAAACCTGGTTACGTACGTTCACCCCGGTTCCTGTAATAAGTTGGCCAAGGTGAAATCTTGTATTTCAAGCACCCCGCGAGTTTCGGCGGTAAATCACATGGCCACCCGGACTCTTAAAGGAAAACAAAAACAACAAAGCCGATTCTTTCTTTCAACTAAATTTTAATATCTACGTTAAAGTGGAAACTTGAGAAAGAGCCAGAGCGAGGAATAAAAAAGCAACGGGGTCCAATTTCTTTGGAAGAAAAACGTTAAAATTTTTTAGCGGTGGTGAGAAAATGAGGAATGCTAGCGGCCACTAAGGTGAAAATGAAAAACGTGAACAGGAACACATACACACAACATCCATAAAACTTGTAACTAGGAAGTTTCTGGATAGTCTCACGTTGTTGTCGTGCAAACAACGACAAAGAAATGTACGAGCAATGTACGTACAATGTACGTGCATATTTTTTTTTTGGCCAGTGAGACCTATTCTTGTTGTTTTTTACCGTTGTCGTTGTCTCCACTGAATCTTCAGCATTACACGATTTCATATTTTGTTTTAGTAGACTACAAATACAGAGGAGAGCTTCGCTTTATTGAACCCTGGATAAATCTATATATTATTATTACAATGTACACCTGTAACCACCTGAAGTGCTGAAACGAAAATGAATATAAAATAATGTAGGTCAACAAATTAAACTTTCCTCTGCTGATAGCATATTTGCAGTTAAGCCCGGCAGGGAATTTCTCATATTTTCTAAACATTATGAAGGACTTCGAACGAGCCAATTTCTAATTACTGTGTTTTTAATTTCCCGGTAATGAAAAATTGCAACGCGAGTTTGTTAAGTATCACCCAAAAACGTAGACCAAAACAGCGTTTCGTGAACATTTCATTCTATGATGGTCAGTTTTAATACAGTAACGTCAAATATCAAATCAAATAAGGGGAAACTACTAAAATCGAAATGGCAAGCACGAATACAATTGTTAATAAGAAGTTCGCTATGTAATTATTAATTTCCAACTGAATGTTTTCACAATAATGCATTATAGAAATAAAAAGGAAAGTTGAATACATTGAATGAATAGGTTCATGTAGATCTCAGACAGTTATTTTCATTAGTTTATATTGCTTCCAGCGTGTTTGATTTAGCTAGCCCTGGGTTAATGGAGTTTGCATTGCAACGCAACAGCTGCTCGGACGAGTGAAAAATTTGAGTACTGAGAAAAAGGACTGATCAGCAGCTGAACCTGTGGCCAAACTTGTTTGTGGGAAGATGCCTCAACAAGTGTATCCAGAACGCGAGCTAGAGGAAAGCCGAAAAGACAGGAGCGAGCTTAATTTAAGCAATAACAGAGACCAGCAGACGAGAAACGAACTTTCCGAACAGCTATCGCAAACCTTCGGTCCAACTTTGTTCGTAATGAAGCTAGCAGGAGATTTCTTTGGCGAAACAAATTTGACCGAGCCGCGAGACTTGAATTCGAACTGGGGAAACTCGGCTTACTGCATTTCGCGTTTCTACAGCTCGTTTGTTGTTTTAGCCGAGTGGTTGCTGGTTGTTTTGGGGCTGATAACTCTTTTTTACCAAGGTTTGGCGTCCATGAATGTTTTCCTATTCTTGTTAATCCCAATTACTTATTATATTCAGTGTGCTTCCAACGCCACTATTTGTTCCGTGGTACTGCCACTCGTGAAAAGAAAAAATACCAGATTTTCCCAGTTTATCTCTGGCGCCATGATGACCACAACTGATCTCGATGGAGTGAAACGCAAAACTCTGCAAGGTTTAGTGACTGCATGTTTTGTTGCTGTGATGAATTTTGTTTGTATCGCCCTCTTTTCACTCTATAATGGCGGCATAATCTCTAAATACAAACCGTGGAATGGTCACTCAGCAGTGAGAGTAATCGAGCTCGCACCCGCGATATACGGTTCCTTTTCCTGGAGTCTACCAGTGCAGCTGTACTGTGCAACGTGCTTGGTTCTGGAAAGAATGTTTGAAACGTTAAAAAAGAAAATTGAATCCAGTCTCGGTACTGAACGCCCTTTGACCATTGCCTTTGTGCGCCAAGAGCATATGCGACTGTGCAAGCTTCTTCAGATGGCTGACAGGGTGTTTTCACCTATCTTGTTTGTAACGGTCATACTGTATATACCTCTGATCTGCGTCAATTTATACCAGCTCATCCAGTCAACCAAAAATTGGTCCAGCGAAGCGGGAAGGGTTTCGTTTATTGTTTACCTTTGTTGGAGTATATCTCTAGCATCTATACTGGGAGTGCTGTGCCTATTTGGAAGTCGAGTAAACGAGAAGGTATATATGATATATAATAGTGAGAGTGAGGCGGATTCAGGATTTTTCTTAAGCAGGGGTGCACCACTAAGGACCTACCATTTCTATGGAGTGTAACATAAACTCTTCAATCTCGTCTCATGTTTCACTTCAACACCAATAAACTACAAAGCTTTTTTTTTTTTTTTTTTTTTTTTTTTTCAAAATACACTTTGTTTTTGAAAGCCTGTGGTCATTTCAGGGGGGGGGGGGGGGGGGGCCCCCCCCGCCCCCCCCCCCCCCCCCCCCCCCCCCCCCCCGCGCGGCGCCCTGGGCAAGAGTTTTTTTCTTGTTTGCGTCTTGTATTTGTTTTTTAAAAGAAGGAGGATTTTTTACTAAATTTTTTTTTTTGTGCGTTCGTATGTGTAGTTTGTCTTTTGTCGTGGTAGGTGAGTAATATTTGTTAAGAGTATGAATATAAAAGTTAATATAAAAAAAATGTATATTTTTTTTTTTTTTTTTTTTTTTTTTTTTTTCGAAAAAACCAGTTTTATTAAAAACCCTTAGTTCATCCCAGGGGCGGGGGGGGGGTTAACCCCCCCCGCCCCCCCCCCCCCCCCCCCAGATCCGCCCCTGGAGAGCTGCATGTAGAAATGTATTTGTTTGAGTTGCGATTGTTAATTTAGTGTTGAAAGAAGCGAAGTATTTGCTACAATAGTACATTCAATTGCGTAACAATCTTACAGCAAATTAGAGTAACTGTACCAAAACCAAAAGCTTATCGTGCTTGCATGCCTTGGTACCTATTTTATTCATTTAATATATATTTCATATTAATTAAAACTGCTCGAGTCAATAAGAGAAAGTTAAGAATTTGCTTTTAATCAAAAACTATATATTCTTATTTTAGGCTCACAGTTTTTATGAAACATTACAAATGTGCCAAGTTTCTGCAAAGATCGTCGAAGACAACTCAGAAGTGAGTACATATATCTTTTTTACAGAATTTTTTATGGACGTTTTTAACATAAGTTTCCAGGGTGCTTAAGTTTGGAATGATATAAGTGATGACATCAAGCCATTCCTCTCTCTCAAACGCTTTAAGAAAAAGCTTAAGTCAATTCTTATTGATAAATTTTAATCATAATGTCAGTTCCTGATGATAAATGGCTGATAACATCTGGACTCGAACTGTAGGTGCTTTAGCAATTTGCACCTTATTCTTTAAGCAGTAATTGGTGCTAATGAGTACGTTGAGTTCGAGCACTGCGGTTTAATCGGGCCTTAACTAACACTTTATCCTGCTTCATCCAAGATATGCAATTCCAAAAACATCTTTAAAAAATGTTTAATACTTTGCAGTGAAACCACTGGCCTGAGGCTTGTGGACCCACTTGGGCTTTGAACGTGTTGACGTTATTTCTACTGTGGTCGATAAGAGTATAGACCATGCCGGAAAATTGCTGTCGATTTGTTAATTGGAGTGTGCACAGAGTTTCAAAAGAGAGACTAACGTCATGCATAACTGACATTAACAAAATAAGCGATCTTTTCATAACTTTTTCTTTGTCCACAGTTGATGCTGTTCCTTGCGCATGTGCAGGGCGATGGTATTGGCTTCTCCGCGGGTGGACTGGCGGTGATCAATAAATCTTTCTTTCTCACGGTATGACACCAAATAACTCTTATCTATCTGGGAAGTCTGCTACGGGAATTTAATGGTTTTAAAACGCGACTCAAGTTTAGTTAGTCTGGTGTAGCATGCAAAGGGTTATTCAGGGTGACTTGCATGGGAAAGTTTCAAAATACAGTATCAAAATTACAGCTGATACCCCAGGACAAATTAAGAGCATTAGCTAAGATACCATGTACCCATCCTTAATGAGATCTCATTTTGTTACCATCAGCGATATGTAAAATGTAAAGGAAACTCCTCCGTCTAAGAAGTCTAAGAAAACAGCCAGGTGACGAGTAAAGTGACTGAGCTCAAGATTCTGATGTTCATATAACAAAAATACATGTAACCCTAACATTAATATACAACATTAAATTTGCTCCAAAAATAATTTACATCCAGTAAACTAAACTCACACGAAAGTTAAAAAATTGAGGAGGGAAGAAAGACTGAAGAAAGGGGAAAATAAAGTAAAAGGAAGAAAGAGAGAAAAATTCTTGATCTGATTTGAATTTTAGCTGCAGTGTCAATTGCCACGCATCCATTTGAACTTATGTTCCTGCAGTGAGTCAGGTCTAAGCGTATTTGTGACTGACCGTGTTTCCATACTAGCCTCACGAACTAATAACCTTTAACTTTTACTTTGTTTCAGCTTGTTGGAATAATCGCGTCCTATTTTGCCGTGCTTCTTACCTTACCATCCTGAGGGAAGCGGGAACTACAGAGGCTTCATCAGTTAAAAGGGGTCGAAAGACATTGCTAGGCTTCATACTAAAGCCGTTCATAATATTGCTTCATTTTTGCATTATAAAGGAGGATGAAATCTTAAATAGGAGCACACACTGATACTGGACGGTTTGACATAATATTATACTTTTCATATTGTGAGAAATACAAAAGGACGTTAGTGCCGTGACCAGGATTTGAACCTGGGTTACTGCGGCCACAACGCAGTGTCCTAACCTCTAGACTGCACCGCAGTGAAACTGCAATGCACTTAGAAAAGGAAACGCCCATACTATATATGAATAGATACTGAAGATAGAGAGATTACCATTAAGCTTAAAATAGCGGAGCTTTTACTTATGGCCGGTTGGACGAGAACTTTAGGGATAATTTTTGTTACGTTAGTACTGTATATTTGGCCTATTTGTTCAGATCTTCCAGTAAGTTGAAATAAAAAGTACTCCGGGACAGAGAAGTTTTTGCACCTTAATTTACGGAAACGTCTTTGATTCTAATTGTAATAGAAACCAAAGTAGACAAATAATAATAAAAAAATAATTATGAGAAAAATAGAATAAAGAATAAAAACGGAAAAAAAGGTGCCGTGACCAGGATTTGAGCCTGGGTTACTGCGGCCACAACGCAGTGTCCTAACCACTAGACGATCACGGCCAACTACAGGTACAGGGTTGAAATAAAGACCTATTACCATTTACCTCCTGAGATGAGGGGAAGGATCACGTGGAAAAAAAAAACAATCCAAAGTATACTTTTTTATTCAAATGATAAGACGAAGACGCCTTTATGGTCTAACATGATACCTTATTCGAGTCAAGCAGTGTTTTTCTGTTAGCACAGATTCTTTGAAATTCAAATATTTTACCGTAAAATCCCGAAACTGACGGTCGCCCCGAAATTAACAGCTACCCGAAAGTAACGTTAACTAGCACTCTCTTCTTTTCTATTGAGTCCCGAAAGTGTAACGAACCCACCGAAAATAACGGCAAACTCGAAATTCATTTTCCGTATGAAGTCCGCCATCCAACATCCCAAACGTTTCCGTTCCACGCTTCCATCACGTGGTGTTAAAAGCGTGAATTGATTGGTCGATAGATGATTTGGCGGCACGCACGCCTACCCACTTCCGATGTTTATATCCTTGAGCATCGATCGATTGTTCTTTCTCGAAATTGCCGACCGTGATCTTCTGTTCTTCGTGTGGTATTTCTGTTCTGTTTTTAACGCCGACGGAAACGATGAAGGCCAGAGATGAAGGATTCTGCAATATTGTTTGCATGAAGACACTGTTTTTCGTGTTTAATTTCATCTTTTGGGTGAGTGAAAGCCTCGCGAAGAGCTTCCAGACGAATCCCAACTTTTGTTTTGAGAGAACGGTGAAAGTTTTATTTAAGAGGGCAGGATAAATACCTATTTTCACTACACTTTCGTGGTTTCATCGTGTGCCAAGACAGATTATTAATGTCAAAGTTACGGTGATCTCTTTCTGTCATAATTTTGAACGATGCTGTGATGTGGTCGCACAACATCATGTTCGTAAAATTTTCACCAGTTTATCAGCTGTCGCCTTTCGACTTTAGAGTATTATATATTCATTTCACTTAAAGCTTTGCCAACTTTCTATGACTTCTTTATTTCTTTGTTTTATGCCCTTAAAGCGAAACATTGAGGCACCTTTAGTTTTAGAGCGATTAGAATGTAGCTTTAACCATAGAATTAATGACGAGTTCTGTCAAAGTTATGGAATTTTAATGAGCTTACGGTGTAGTACAATGCACGTTTATACTTAAATCTTCGTCATACTTTCACAAAGATAAATAGTTTCCTGTTGGTAGGGCCTTTTCAGCTCAAGTAGGTATTATTATGTAAAAGATTTTTGCTAAAATTATCGAGAATATTCTACCATTAGTATGATTTTAAAGCTATTACAGGATTCCTTGATGTGCTCTTAGCTTACAGTTAGCTTTCATATTGTTTTCCCACTGGGTCAAGCAAACCTCTGAACATTTATCTAATGGGTTAATTAATTTCTTTGAGTCCCTGTTCAAACACTGATACTTTGTTATGGCAAGATTTTGAGAAAAGTACAGTGTGTGCATTGAGCTTCTAAGGCCCTGTTTAAGAGGACCCTGGCACTAGGAGGGTTACCCTAGAACTTGCATATTTCTTCTTTTCCCACACGACATGTTTACAAGGCAGGTAGGGTTACCCTAGTGCTAGGGTAAGTCTACCTGAGTGCTAGGGTTGCTCTAGCAAGAGGGTTACCCTGCCAGCCTTATAAACACTCAGCTAGGGATAACTCACCTACCCAGGTCAACTTTCCACTGTCATGTGTGACCAGTAATCGTGCCAATTTGAATAGTATTATCCAATTTCTTAGCTTAATAATAGACTTGTGGATAAGTTCAAGTTTACATAGACAAGTACGTAGCCAGTTATAACTCATAACCCAAGGGGACCAAAGAAAATTAATTCCTATAACATTCCTTCAGCTTGCAGGTGTCGGAATTTTGGGTGTTGGAATATGGATAATGGTCTTCAAAAGTGATTACAAAAGTTTGCTGGACAGCGATATCTATGTGATTGTGCCAGGTCTAATGATTGCGGCAGGCGTGGTGGTCATCATCGTTGCAATTGTGGGATGTTTAGGAGCTATTAAGGAGAACAGGTTTTTTTTGATCTCTGTGAGTACATGCATCTCTGTCGCTAAAAATGTAAACCTTATTCACAATACCCACCATCTTTGCACATGCTTTAGGATCAATGGGGTACACCTGTAAAAGCGCCAGTTTCCAAGATAAATGTGTTCAACAGAAAATGTAAAAATAATGCAAGATTTGTTGATTGTGCCTTGGTGTCCACATAATGAATACCAACACTGTAATTCTTGATTGAAATAATGTGGGGTTTCAATAGATACAAAATATGTACTGCCTGTAGGAGAGAAATTTTTGTAAAAAGTGTCTTTGGGCCTTTGTTATGGTATAGGATGATAATTAAGTATTTTAAGGACAATTTCCATGATTGTCAAGAACCCTTGCTTGTTGATATAACACTGTGCACAAAACAAATGCCAGGTTCACATGCAAGGCCAAGTTGGAAATAAGTATTGTGGGCAATTGGCTATTACAACCCATAGCACAACCCATAGGTAGGAATGGTACACTGTATCTATGGATTGTCATCACTCAACCAAGTAAAATCTGTGCTGGGAGGTTTACTGTAAAATGGTATTAACTTCATTAAGAATTATTGTATTGCAACAGAAACTCATAAGGGGTTGAAACGTGTAACTCTCATATGTTTGCTTTGTCCAATGCTCGTGATTATTCATTTTCGAAAGTACCATATTTGGAACGAGAAGAAGAGATAACTGACCAATCAAACTTCGTAAACAACGTGACATAATTTTCCTTCAGGTTCCCGCGCCCGCTTAAAAAAATGGCCGACAAACGGGGGAAAAACTCCCGAAAGCCGAGAAAGCTTTTAAAGGTTGAAACCAGGAATATTACCGAAACACTGAGCAGGATATTATTGCCTTACCACCCGGGCCAAACGTAACATTATGAAACCCATTGACGACCTCGCAACTTCTTGAAGTTGTCACTTCAAAAAACTATGCCTCGTTGACCCTCTGCACAGTAAACTTATACTGCAAATAGGCTTTTAAAATTTTTATGTTAAAAGTCTAGAATAAACAGTGAAAAATGTTTTCGAATAAAATTCATTAGCTGTGTATCGAAAGTGTCCAAACCTGAACCTGACATCTTCGCAAAAAGTGATGCTTGTAATGAATGTGAGAAGCATTTGAAAAGCTTAAATTAAACTTAGATGTTGTAGTCACAATCGTGTTTTGAGCTAATTTTATGACTGAACAAACTCAAAACAATAGACAGAGAAGCCGTTTCTTGAAAATTTTTATTCAAAGTCCAAAAAGTTAATCCTTTAAAGCAATTCGGAAAACACTATCTGGATCGTGGATCCGTTCACGCAAGTGGCATCGGCTAAGCACGTGGCAAAATTCAACACAAAATCCATCTCAAATCAGGGCACATTTTGTAATTTTTTCTTTAGCGCCGAAGAGAAAAATTTATAAAACGTCTATGAAACATTTAATAATACATAAATTCCCTTTTAAAAACGTAATTGTCTTGGCCATAGAGTGCAAAATGTACCTGAAAATTCAGCAAAAACTTCGCTGACTTGGTTGCATTTCAAAATAGACCATGGGCTCCGCCGTGAAGAAAACAAGGTTGAATTCCTCGAAGGACGATTTCTTGATGAAAAGCTTCCCTTTCTCCACAAAAAGAAAGCTGAGCATTCTTTTGAACTTTCTCTTTCCATTTTTTGTCTTTTAACGGTGTATTTTTAACCTTGAAATGCAGAACTCTTGTCTTAAAACATCTGCATGGTGATCGCGCAGCAGCCATTTTGTTGAAAATGGATATCCGTCACTAAGATTTCCAAATATGGTCAAAATGAATATTCACAAGCATTGAACGCGAGTTACACGTTTCAACCCCTTATGGATTTCTGATTGCAATTATAGTAGTAGTGTAAGTTACATGTAAATCTAAATTTTTTTTTTTTTGTTTGTAAATTTCCATTTCTTTCAGTTTTTAGTGATGGTGATCCTGGTCTTTATTCTGGAGTTGACAATTGGAATTTTGGCTTTCGTATATTCTAATAAGGTACATCATGTATTCTGCTTTACCAACATTTTGCCTCGTGTAAGGGAATTCAAGACAGTCTTGGATTCTAGATTTCAGACACTGGATTCCGGTCTCTTGTCATTGGATTTTGGATTCCAATCATTAGTAGGATCCCAGATTCCTTGAGCTACCACAAGTAAAATATTCCCGGATAATTTCAGATTTCACAAACCAAAATGTCTGGGTTTTTGGATTCCGGATTCCCTTGCATTGGGTAAAACATTCACCCAGAAATGATTAAGATTGAGATTTTTGCTAATTAAAGATGTAAAAGAATATGTAATAATTGTTCAAACTAGTACATGTATGATTGGCATTACTCATTTACAAAATGTAGTAATTTTGCCTCACAGTAGTCACTTCAACAACATTACTGATCTCAATGTTTCTAAATGTATAGTGGTGTCAGTTGGCAGGACTAGTAGCAATACACTCTCACTTAGGTTGTTAATTAGTGATCAGTGTATTTTTAACCTGAATTAAGTTTTACACTGTAGTATGAATCTCCTACATATGTACGTGTAAAATGTCCACTACAGTGTTGTTTATTACAATTTTTAAAGTTTAAAAACTCTGTGCTGCAAGACCCTTTGGCAAAGGTTAAACTTAGCATGTGATCAATTGACACTGTGGACATTTTAAAAGTTTCTGCTGTTAATTAATCTTTTAAAATGTACTTGCGTGGCTGCCACAGTTCAGGAAACGGTGAAGAAAAAAAATTTTTCAAGGTAAGGGAAAAGTCAGGGAATTTCACTTTGAGTCAGGGAAAATTAATTAGTCTTTGAAATAAGTCACGAAAATGTGAAATTAATCTTTAAGAGTACATATTTATTCTTTTCCCATTGCTTTCATTGTTTTCTAACATTTAACATTCTTTTGACAGTACGTTTTTATTTTTATGGACATGAATCTTGTTTTATTCAATTTGGTAGAATATTTTTCATGAAATTGAACAAGAAGCTGATGACGGGTTTTCCTTCTTGCATGTCATATTAACGAACTGTTAATTTATGTCTGACACTGCACATGATTTACTGAAAGCATAAATAAATAGGTGAAAAGGATGCTATGAGGGGAGGGTTGAGTCCATTATTAGGACTAATTTGTGAAATATTGTTAATTCAGTTGGTCAGGGAAAAGTCAGGAAATTTCAGAAACCTCTGTCTGTGGCAACCGTGACTTGGTAAAAATATTTGTAGGTTGTAGAGGGTAACTGGTATGTTACATCTACAGTTTGTATATCTCACCATCTTTCATGTACATGTACAGTGAACACGTACAGGTACTTGGAATAAATCATCAAAACCCTTCATCTCATCTTCTGTTATTGTTACATGTATTATTTCCATTGAGAGTGAAAAAGGTGTATGCATTATGTTTTATTTCACTTAATATGATCACAATAATTTAAATTAGGGACCGACCATTATGTTTTTGATGGGGGGGGGGGGGGGGGGGGGAATTTATCTTGTCTCCGCCTGTGTGCTCTTCTGTTATTTGTTTTTTTTTCATATCATTATCTTTTGTAATGAGAAGAAAAAATAGGGGTAGTTTATTTTTTTTATAAACATAAAATAAAACAAAAAAAAATAAAGTAGACCCCATTTATTAGTTGTTGGGGGGGGGGGGGGGGGGGTATGGAAATTTTTGAAATACATTGTTTGCAGAAGCTGTAAACACTGCAGAAGTAAATTGTATGGAAGTAAAAACAGTTTTTGCAAGAAGAAAGAGACACACAAAAAAATATTGTTTGCAGCAGGAGCTGCATATAAAAAAAAGTTTGCATGTGAGAATTTTCCAAATCCCTCCCCCACCCCTCTGTCAAAACAATAATGGTCCCTCACACCAAGCCTGGACCCTAGCTTGCAGATAAACCTATCATGAGTACATGTAATAAAAGTTTTGTTTGTGTTCCGTACTCATTAGATAAAAGATGAGATAAGGATAACGATTAAGGACAAAATGAATCAATATGGTGTGAACGATGATGTGACAAAATCTATTGACAAAGTACAGGAGGAGGTGAGAGACTACGTCATTATATATCTTGCATTAATTTTCCTGCTTACATCGCAGCGAGAAGAACTTGGATTTTACCAAATCACTCTACAACAACATTCCTGGCTTTGATTTTGAAATTTTTTTGCTTTCACCTTTGTTGCTATTGTCCTATTGTGCTGCACTTTTTGGTGAGATTATAGAATGAGTAAACAGTCAACTGGACTTTCAACTTCTTTTCGATGAGCATCTTCGTACAACAGACATCTACCTATTAATGGGCAACCTAAGTTGGTTTCTGCCATCTTATTTCTCTACCGTTCTGTATTAAGAAGTAAATCTCTCTCTAGGCAAATGTGTATGTAGAGCTGGTCAATGCCATCCTTCAGTCATTTACTTTAACTCAGAAACAACTCGCTGCTCCACTTTGTAAAACCTACATTGTACAATGCTCATAGATCTGGTCCCTGCCACACATCAGCCACATATGAAGAGAGGAAACAGTAAAAGTAAAAACGCACATGTACGTTTAGAGTTGGTCACTGCCAAATTTCTTCTCTCACTCTACACAGGGTTCACACAGTCTTGAAAAGTCCTTGAATTTTAAGGAAAGTCCTTGAAAAGTCCTTGAATTCCATTTTTCCTTGAAAGGTTGTTAAATTTTTGTGCAAGTCCTGAAAGGTTTTCGAATTTTCTTCAACTCTGAATGTATGTAGTTACCTGGAAAGTGTTTTTTAATGATTTTTGGCTATCCAAGACAGAATATACTGTAAGTCATAGCTCAGAGAAATTAAAGGTCATTTACATAAAGTGATTTTTGTTTTATGTAAGAATTGGTTATTAATAAGACAAGTGAACTGAAAAATGTAGATAGGTTGGTGAAGCAAACAGTTCAAGCCTTAAAGTCCTGTTAGAATGGACTGGGAATGCGCATTTTATACATGTACAGTCTGTGAAATTATATTGCTGGTAGGTGGTCTTGGAAATCGAATGTGGTCCTTGAAAAATCCTTTAAAAATGGTTGCAGTTTTTTGTATGAACCCTACTATATCTGTATGCCTTTCTGTGAGACTAAGACCTCTCTAAAACGGCCTCCTACAAGTATATGTAAAGCTGTAGCGTTGTTCTCTGCCGTTTTTAAATAATGTTTATTTTAATTTTCGTCAAGACAAGATGGGACCATAATGCCTGTTCCAAGGGTGTTTGGCTTGGGAGAGTTAATAACATGATTGTAAGAAATAATCGCGATATGTCCCCCGTGTAGTGAATAACGAAGGGGTAGCCATGCACGTACTAGCCTGTTCCAGGGTCCGAGATAGTCGTGGCTTACACTTACGCGTCATCTCTACGATCTTTGACCGCTCCCTTTTCCCAGATCACGCGCTTATATTTTCGCGTGCCTTACGCTTGCACGCGTCATCCCTATCATTTGGGACCCTGGAACAGGCTTTACACATACGCAAATTTATTTTGCAAAAATGGATGATAAAACCACATTTTGGTAATACGCACTGTTTTGTTAATTAATTTTAGAACAAGTGCTGTGGCTCTACTGGAGGAAGCAGCTGGAATGACACAGCTTGGCGGCAGGGTGAATCGGATAGGCTGGTTCCCGATTCCTGCTGTAAAACACGGACAGATGGATGTGGGAAGAGAGATCATCCATCAAATATCAACGATGAGGTAAAGTGCAAAGTCCGTTCATGTAATACTATTTATTACATGGCGTAATCCGCTAGTGGGTAAGGTGAAGGGAATCTTGTGTTGTGATGGGCTATCTAAGCGGGCAAGATGGACACTTTATTTTTCAAGTTCCATATAATTATCTGTTTTTGCTCTTGTCACCCGGGCTATTTTTCGTGTGCATTCCATAACTGAGTCACTGAGTCTTTATCATTTTGAGTAATAATAGGGAGCTCTAGCACCAACAAGGGCGTCGGCTACGAAAACGTCATTTAAAAAGTTAGTTCGTCCTGCTTCAAACTTTATCGCGCTTATTCCATCTCGTTCAGTTAGTCAAATACTGGCAATTTTTCTGGGTTGAATTCTCATAGACTGTATCGAAGTCCAGGAAAAGAAAAGCAAAGTCGTTGGCCTGTGTCCACGTCGTCCATATAACGTGAAATTAGGCACTTTCACGTCTTAGTCGTTCTCTGACGGCAAAGAAATGTACCAAAGAGCGTGATGCACATGCAAAGTTGTTGCTCTCCTAATTGCTGGCGACAAGAGGAGCCCGCAATCCTAATCTCTAGGCTATTATTACGCATGCGTCGCATGTATGTAACCAGCATTCATTTGGACGTCCACTAGGAATGAATGGAATGCACAAAACGCAATTTGATGATGCGCGTTTCGACCATCTACCCCTCGTAATCTGATCGCGCGTGTTCTGACCATCTGTCACCTGAAACTTACGCGAAGCACAGCGATGGAGCAAAAGCGTTTGGACCTTCGGTCGTTGTCGCCCAGGCTCTCTAACCTTTGGTTGTTACTAGTCTAAACCTATTGCTTTTTTTCCGTACTCGTTAAAGACGCCGTCGTCGTTGCCTAAGCTCCCTAATACTGGTAATAGGACTTAGCGTCGTATAACTCATGGGTACATGTAATATTACGATTACTTACTTCCAACGATTACAAGTACATTCATTTCAGGCAAGTCGGGTCACGCTTAGGGACATATCCGTACCATATTAACTGTCATGTGAAGCGAATTGAATACAGGACATTTCGCGCATTTAACTAAAAATCCGAGTCAGTTTGTCCTCGCACCAATTCGTGACGTACAATTTAACCAGTTGTATTTCGTAGATTTCATCAAGTCTGACATTACCGTAAGCAGAGGAATAGGGTTTATTTATTGCAAACTGAAATAGTTAACTGTTACTTAGTGCTCGCGCGAGCAAGAGCAGTAATTGGTTCTCGCGTTGAAAAATAAGATGCGCGTGTGTCTCCGTGTCACGCAATCATTCCGGCAGAAATTAAGAAGATATCAAAGTTTGTTAATCTAAACTTTTGTGATTAATTAATTGTCATTTGCGTTTTCAGGGATGTTTAACCGAAGTAGAGGAGTTCTTTCATAAACATTTTACTATTCTTGCAATTGTTGGAATTGGCGTTGCTGGTATTCAGGTATATTGTATGTACAGTACACTTACATGTATAGTAACGGAAACTGGTGGATTCGCCTGTGGGCCGATTCCGACCTCACAGCCACTCGTGCAGTCTACGTAATCTATTCTTCCGGCAAGATGAATGCTTTGTATTATTCACTAACAATAAAACTGTTACAAAAGTGTGGGAGAGCTTCTCCTATCAATTTCATTCCGGGTGAAACGACTACAGGATGCGGAAAAGTTGTTTGAAAATTGATGTTATTATAATACATTTTGCGCGAAAATATGATCTTCCCACTTGATGATAACAGTGAAAAGATCACCGTTGCTATGGTTACATAAGAAGTCGCGCCTTTTGCAGCAAGAAAATGTTATAAAGGGCAATTTTTTTTTTTGTATGTCATTGGTGTTTATTTGAAAAGCAGGACATCACATAGCCGCTTGGAGATATGAAATTTCTGCTCGAGTGTTGAAAAATATTTCACGAGTGTGCGCACTGTCAAACCGCCCTGTTCGACCACCTTTCGTAAGCTTACGTTTATTAAAAGCACCGAGATTTTCCCAGTAAAAGTCTTATAGTTACTCAGACATTGCAGGCAACAAATTTTCCTTCACGTACATGTACATTACTCTGCAAGCAGAGCCTCCGCCTTTGAGGTCGCCGCAGCCCGAACCGAGTGTTAGCACCGGCTATTAGGCCTGGGTTTGAAACTGTATCCTAGCAACATGCAGCGCATGCTGAAAAAAAGATCTTACTAGCCTGCGAGCAAGCTCTCCGGAGCGCTCTGGCGGCGGGAAAAGGAAGGAGAGCTTACAAATACGTCTCTGGAATTTTAATACGTGCATCGAAAAAGTCGAAGCGAAATGCTGATTGGTGGAGAAGACATTAGTAATAACGTCATTACCCTTGGCACGTGTTTTTAAAAGTTTGTTTACATTCGCGCTCGTTTCCGCTTCGCGCTGATTGGCGGAGAGAGAGCTTTGAGAGAGCTTGCTCGCAGGCTAAGATCTTACTTGATTCTCAAGCACGCTAAAATCGAGCAAGCGGAAGAAGTCAAAGAAAGTCTCTGCACAGGGTGATGTACATTCAAGTAGAGATCACCTGTTCCCAGTCGAGACCACCTACTGCGCGACTGGTTCGACTCTTTAAAGCAGCCACCACTAAATCTTGACAGTTTGCTTACACTAGGTAACGTTAGGCTTAACTGTATTTTTAGGAGGCGGTATATTATTAAACGTTCTTTTCTTTTCATCCACAGTTGATCGGCATCCTAGTGACAGTCTGCATTCTCCGTTTTGTGGAAGAATATTAACTCGAGTATCAGACGCAACGCAGTTTATTTGCAGGGATGGACACTCATATGTACACTGTAACGCTAATTTTTAAATCGAAATTTTGTAAAATATATCCTTAGGTTTGCGTTGCTTACCCAGGGAATAAGTTGAACGGAATACATAATGTATAAACAGCAACAAAAACAACAACAGCAACAAAGACAAAGACTTTCTATTTGCTATAATTTTTTAATATTATAGTTTCCAGCAAAAGCTAACAAAGCCAGTGGAGGCAATGGTAAGTATACTTGATTTTTTTCCTCAGAATCTAGCTGGTAACAAATCTATTCATTCATAACCGTATGCTTAATATTAAAAATAGTCGGATGTTTTAAGTTTGCGTTTTCTTTTTTTTTAAATAAATTACACTGGAATTTTTTTGCTAAGGACGAAGTCAAAAGGTGAAGGAAAAACGTAAAGTACTCAAAATAGCGTCTATTTTCAGCCCAGTCAAAATGAGACGGCAGCCAGCAATTTTTCCGCTTTCAGTGGAATATTTGTCGCCTACTCAATTTTTAGGTTCAGTAATAACAAAAACCACACAAATTAAGGCCTTTGCTGCCTTCTCGTCTGGTTATTCTACTTACCATTGTATAAAACATTTTGACTGGGCTGTATTTTATTTTAGCCTTCAAGTATTGCCTTTTTAGTATTTGTATTGTTTGTGTTGATATTTTTGCTTGAAAGAGGTTTGCTATCGCTATCTTTGGCAGCTGTGTGGTGTTGACTACACCTTAAAAAGGATTATTTTGTTTATCTCACGGGACGTTTTGCCTCGTTTTCCGAGCGCTGTTTTTGCTATAGTTTTTAAACTTTTGTTAAGTGTAGACAAGAGCAATGTTAGGTTAAAATATCTTGCACAGTAGTATGTCCCTGTGACAATATTTAACTTAAAGCTCCAAAGTTGTCAACTGGTGTGTAAATTTTCATTGCTGTTTCCTTTTTTAAAACTACAAAGTATAAACAAACAACAACCTTCATAAAAGACAAGTAACACGACCGCTAAAACGCTATCAATGGTTGACAGTCAAAACCAAATTTGTAATTAATAAAATTCTTTTTATCATAGATCCTTTTGTTATTTCTCATTTGCCGTTCATTGCATTCAGATCTTTGGCTGATTGCAATAGAACTTCGCTAATAAGAAGTTGCGCCAGTAATACATAATTGTAAGATAATCTTGATTCATTTCCGGCCCCTTTAAATGTTCTTAAGAGTTTCAGTTTTGAGACTCTCGGCCGGTCATTAATTATCCCTTAATAATAATAATAATAATAATAATAATAATAATAATAATAATAATAATAATAATAATAATAATAATAATAATAATAATAATAATAATAATAATAATTTTATTCAACTTTATAAAATATGTACATAATTTACAGAAATATTTGAAGTGAGAAATATAACATTAAGAATTATGTAAATCATAAAAATAACAATCACTGTGTCAATAACGATTTCGCAAATACATTCCTTGCGGCTCAGATGTGGTCAATAACTCTTGCAGGCAGTCCAGAATTTTAAATTAAGTCATAATAATGATAATAATAATGGAAACTTTGTTTGTGTTTTTGAATGTACAAATGTAAATCTCGCTACGTATAGGCAATTTACAAATGCTGCTTGAGATTGGATTATTAAAAAGAAAAAAAAAACAAAAACAAAACAAAAGCCAAAAAAAGAAAATTCAAAATTGCATTAAGTCTGGGCTATCCCAGTTCCTACTTCTACAACAAAAGATGTAATATGTTGCTCTAATGGCTATATTTATCATTTTCTTGATTATGTAACGTTGCTGCTTTTTGTCGATGCCAATGTCATTCATTATGTCTAAGAACGTGGAGCATAATAATACTAATAACAACAACATTAACAATCGAGCGTGATATTGTGGTATTGGATAAGATGGAACGCAAGTGTCTGATTATTGATGTTGCTTGTCTATTTGACACCCGAGTGAAAGACAAAGAGAAAGAGAAAATTGAGAACTACCAAGACCTGAAGCGGGAGTTGAAACGGATCTGGAAATTGCGCACAGTAACTGTGGTGCCAATTATGATTGGCACCACAATGATCATGATGATGATAATGATAATGATATCAGTGATAATGATGTTAATAATAATAATAGTAATAATAATAATAACTGGCTGACAAATTTGTGCGGTAATTACCGGCAAAAAAGTGAATGAATTAAAACAATTTTAAACTAGGGAACGTTATCGCTGTAAAATTTAAAACTGTATTTCTCTCCATTCCGTTACTGACTTTCGAAGGGTTGCCTCGGTGGATTAGCTCTTTCCCCACCTGTAAAGCTCACTCATCCTTCGTTGGGTTTTCGCTTTTGATCTTTCCTTCGAGGTAGAGATGGTTGGGCCTGGAACTTGCCCCGGCAGTTATCATATGTTATTGAATATCGTGATTTTGTGTTGTAAGTTCCCTGAGGAGTATCATTTAATTTTGACCAGCACATCTCGCCAAGTTTTTGCTTTAACCTTTTTTTTAATTTTGTAAAAAAGAAGATAGTTTCAAGGCGTATATTTTGTTGGTGTACTAAAATGGTTCTAGTTTTTAGAAATATTATTATTATTATTATTATTATTATTTGCTATTTAATCAACCTTTAGGTTTTAGGCATTCAGGATTCTCTAGGCCCTAGAGTCTTGCGAAATTTTCTTGTTCTCCTTCGAAGCCTTTAACAACCGCAGTCAAAAGTGCTGGTTGGGAAGCCAAAGTTTTATATCTTGTTTAAACCAAAATTTTAGTGAAGAATTACTAAAATTTGATTGAGTTTATTTGTCATTACAGTTGTTAGCAATTGGCCGTTTATATACAAGGTTCTGTCGTATGTTTTTGTTTTTTTTTCTTCTGCCCTAACACCTAATATCTCAAAAATACCACCCTTTTAGTAAGACTGTATAAATTTGTTTATCTCCACCTGCCGATCCGTTTACTATAGAAAGCGACAAACACCAAAAAATGTTTTGGCTGTACAAAATGACTTATCCACAAACTGAATTAACCGACTGCTTAAAATGTCTCAAAGTGTAGGATTAATATAAGATGAGCACGAAAAAAGTTACTGTTTTAGGGGATTTGAAAGTAAAATTTGTCAATTTTTACCCTCGTTCAATCAGATAAAGGTGACGTCCTCCTTTTTAACTGATTTCTCAACGTTAAGTGCTTAAGTTAAAGATGTACATTAGTTGAAAAGCCGCCTCAATAAGGCAGTTAAAAAATACTTTGGACTGTTTTGTCTGATGTGCATGCACAGAGGCAAGCTGGATGCTTTATTGTGGAACGATGAGGAAAAAAGTAATTGAAAACATTGAAGGTGAACAATTGTCACACAAAAAGGCATATGAATGAGGATATGCTATCTTTTCAAGTAGGTTTCCGCCTTTACATTACACATAATCCTGAAGGAAATGAATTTGCTTCCATCATTGTCATTCATGGAAAACAATGTATTCAAAATCAGCATAAGAAAATTTGCCAGGTTGAAATTCAAAATTGACCACGAGGAGCTGAAGTTTGAAGTTTGGTGGAAATTCGCGGGTAAGTTCAGTTCCCGTATGCGTTGACAGACGTTCCTCGATCAAAGTACATCGAAAAACTTTCTCTACTTCTTATATCACTCAAATGATTTATTTTTGGAGGGGTCGTCTGCCTTATTTGAAATTGGAGTTCTCCCTACAACATTGCAACCTCTTGTTAAAAAAGTACATCATATACATATGGGAGGTCTATTGTTCAGTAGAAAGATTTAAGCATTTTTATAAACCCCCACTCTATACAAAAACTTTGAACGCAGGGAACAACGCAAAGAAGAATAAAACTCAGTCGGTACTTATTTCTCCCCCGGATCTCTTTTTGTTGAGGTGCCCGTACTAAACGTCAGTTAAGGTGTAGCCAAAATATTTAATTCCAGAGCTCGTATTAAGGGAAAAGATATTCTTCCTAATTTTGTAATGTTTGAAGTCTCATGCGGCCTTTCAATTTTTTTTGGACTATACATGTTGATTCACGATGACTGGTGACAGAATTGAACTAGGAGTAATTTGCTATCTTTTTTCAATCGTCTTTCACGTGCAAATTATTGCAGTGGTAAAGGTAATTTCACGTTCATATTTTGGCAGATTAATTCTGTTGGCAGTTGTGGCCCTCATGGGCATCGTCAAGAGGGAAAAAGCTATGGCAAACGTAAAATTTAAACGCCTCCTAAGTAGAAAACAGGGAAAGAGTAGGTTAATCTGTGTCTGAACTGCGCATGTCAGCATGTCAGCATGTCAGCGTGCTTTAAGAACATGGCCGGCTGTTTTGATCGGCTCGTTTTACTTGGAACGTTATCCTTAGGGCGATAATCCCTCCTCCGCCGATAAGTAAAATCAGATAAAAAATTTCCGGAAAGAAGTGATGCACTCCTTCAAGTATGGGAGTGTATTTATACATAACTACTCAAAGCCATGTTGTCTACTTGACGTATTTGATTTCATTTACATGTTTACATTGCACTATCAACGGTTTTCTTTGCATTTTTTAATGGGAGTTCCAGGAAATTCAGGAAGAGAGGGGAGGTATAATGATCCTTTTTATCGCGGCCGTTAAAGAACTTAGACAGGGTTAGTTTCTACAGAAGACAAATTTCACTTAGAATTTCAAATTTCAACACCATTTTTGGATAAAGACAGGGCCACGCCTCCACTTAGCTTATTCCTCTACACCCACCAACACTCTTGCGTTTCGGAGAAATTTGAAGCGCAAAGGTTTACTTTTTTCGTAATTTTCTGTAAGCAGATGGCAGAATCCTGAGGACGAAGACACGACTTTTAAGTCTGTATTTGATGATAAACCTCGAGAACTTTCGTTAGCCCAAACAGAAAAGGGGTATGAGTGGGCTATTTACTAAACAGGTTTTTGTTTTTAATGAATTCATTAATTGCATTATCCGTGAAGAAAATATTTAATGAAACTCATGTTTTAGAAGTGTCTTTGTGGGGATGTTCATGTGGATTAATTCGATTGACTTAAGCATCCTTTCTCACCTTTGTAAATAATCAAACGCGGCTAGCCAGCCCGGAGGTTACTAAAATGTCGGTTGATTTAGTCAGTTCTTCAATTCTGTTGAGCAGGCTGAAACCTTTCCAAGGAGACTTACGTTTTATCTGAAAGACGTGTGGCTTTTGGTCAAAATTGATTCAATTCATTATGATTGAATATGGAATGATAAAAGTATGAAAAGAAGGTTCTGATCTGCAGCTGCCGACAGAGGAAGCTATCGGTTTTAAACGTTCGTGCAAACTATTACATATAACTAACCATGATAACCCCGCCTAATCCTCTACGCCAAATTGCACAATGCAACCTCTTTGACATCGCAGACAGCCTGCGTCACAGACACTGCACCGCATGTATAGACTATGCGAGGGCCAGCTGCAACATTACAGTGCCGGATCCAGACCTTGAGATAAGGAAGGGGGCGGTCTCCAAAAAAATTTTTTAGGCCCCTTGGGGCCCGGGCACCTCAGGCCCCTCCCCTGGATCCGCCACTGCATTTAACCCGTTTAGTCCCAAGATACCCCGTGTTGACCACGTAATCTAACCCTGGTTTGTAGCGTCTGCCGATATCCTTGTTTTGGCCCCCAGGGAATCAACGAATTACCTGAAATGCGTTCCGAATTCCCTTCTACTTGACCGGCAAATCGGCAATGGAAGTTTTAACAGGCCAATAATCGTGGCACGTTCTCAAATCCCGGTACACAGTCGGGGACCCAGAACAAGGATTACGGCGCTGTTTCGCCTGTGGCGCAGGCTAGTCCCAAGAGTGGCCAACATCAATTCACTCCCAACAATATCAATACATAATCAAGCGAAGAGGTTATGAGAATTAAGGAAGTGGTCAGTTTAGAGGAAATGCTTTTTTATCTTTAAAAATTCTCTCAACCAATTTCTTAATTTTTCTGAGAAATGTATGGAGATCAGTCTAGAGCGGAATTTATGTCAGTATTGACGCTTCATTTCTAAAGGGTTATAAAGTTCTAAAACCACTCCGGTCCTCACCTCGTTTTTAAAACTCGATAACAGTCTTGCGTCTTGCTCGTTTTTGAAACCATTTCTTCGTAGAAACATTTATTTGGGAAATTTATTGCACTTTTGTTTTTCTCTTTTTGAGAGCATGGCGACGAGTGCAAAAGTTGTATTTCCTGTGGTGGTCCTAGCCGTTTGCTGTGTGGCTATGTCAAGACGAGTAATGCTTGACTACGATGACCTCCAGATGACAAAGGGTGTGCCGGTGAGTTTTCCCAAACTAGCGTCACTCCAAGTTACTATCCCAGTAAATTCTCAGGTTGCTCTACAGTACTCTACAGCAAAGACCAAGTACACTGAAAACAAGAGGTGATGCCGCTACTGAGTATTGCTCGCGCGTTAACCAGCGTCATTTTGGCCAGGAAAACGTGATAGCCGTCGTCATACCATTACGAGTTTAAGCGAAATGTCGTAGTGGCGGAAATAAGTTCTCGAATGTTACAAGTTTTATCATTTTGCGATCGGGAGATGGCTCAACCTCCTTTACAGCAAGGAGCCCAAAAGTGTGACCTCTTTAATTAACTCACATTCTTTCGTGCAGACATTAACCAATCAGAAGTAGAGGACAGTTTTCAGTTGCCTTCTGATTGGATTAAACCTGAACAAAAGAAAAAGAGGTCAGACTTTTGGGCTCCTTGCTGCAATAAAGATAACAGTGCTAACTTTTTTGGTGAATCAAAACTACAATGAAGCTTTCCGGGGTGTCTGTTTTTTGGGAATACGTGAAGAAACTTGAAGTTAGATCTCGTACTCTTAGTCGTTCTAGTCCTCAAATATAAAGCTCTCTAAAGATGAAAACAATGGAAACCACGCTAAATACTCTAAACTCTGAAGTACCCTGAATTGTGCTTTATCTGTGTAGGGTGCTGTTTTTCATGTTTTTCATTTAACAATTCTTGATTGACTTATCTGTTTCAAACCCTCTCTTCCTTTAGGCTTGCGGAGGGCGTTGTAATTCTACTAGTTTCTGCCAGTGTCAGAAACATTCGGAATATTGCAGAAAAGGCCGCTGTGTTCCAGTTCCTCTCGGCCTCGACTTTATTTTTCGTAACATTCCGGTAAGATCAATGATAGTCTGTAATTGCTTTCTCGAATTTGCAAAACCTTTTGGAAATTTATCGACAATTTTCACCAGATAGCCGATTTTTAAACGTCGCTGAAATATTTGTACAGAAATGATGCATCAGGATTCTCATCCGAGAGCGGCCAGATTGTTTTTATATGTTAATGGTTATGACTTGAAGTTGACCCTTAAGGCAATAGTGCTTTTTCATTAACTCAACTTATCGTTTTTAAAACCTATTTTAAGTATGAAAACCCTTCCGGCCTTAAGGAAACGATATTTTACCGACAATGATGATAAATTTCCGCTTTAATTTGACCAGCGGCTAATGGGTTGTACTCACTGACTAGCATGCAAACAGTAGACAAAACGGATATTTGATTTTGGATATTGAGTAAGATAATTATGGTGTGGAAATAGGCTAGGGAAAGTTCATAAAATTTTTAATCATTTGTGTCCATATTTTGCCTTTATTGTTGGACGTCGATTTCTTAATTTTACTTCTTTGATGACATAACATTGTCGGTTATAAATATTGTTAGTTAGTAATGGCAGTAGGACTGAGTGAACTATAATTCAGGGGGCAATCGGGCGAGTAATTTCAAATCGGCCGAGCACGTAGAGTCTCATGAATAGTATTGAGATATATTTTTAAATGTAAATACAAGAATTTCATTACATCATCAGCTTACAGCTTCTAAAGAAAAACATCGCTTACAACTTTGGGTGAAATCGGCCGGTGTGCTGAGGTCCGGCGCATGAACTTTTTAAAATGTCACAGACGCATTTTAACAAAATACGAGAATCAAAGTATGCGTCGTCAATTTCTCTATTCAAGCTGAAGCTGAACATCCTGCTCACTCAGTATATTTTCCCTGATTTTGATTGGTTATCACTAGCTATGTAGTTAAATTTCATTGGCTAGTAACATTTACTACTTGATTTTAATTGACTGATATTTAACTGCTCGATTTGTCCTGTTCGATCACAAGCTCCTGTTAATCGGAGAGGTCAAATCGGAGTGGAGATTTTCGTGTTGCAATAGCAAAATTAACCAGTAAATGTGGGCTGTTAAGAACCAATCAGATTCGAGTATTTTGTTATTGACACAATTTTTAATTTAATTTTTGTTTCTGTAGTGTCCCAGCGTTTACAAATCCTTCTGTGTAACCGACACTGACTGCCCGTGTAAAACAAAGCGTCTGGTTTGTGAAGAAAATGAGTGTGTTAAAAGTAAAATTGCATAAGTAAAAAGGCTCAACCGAAGGCGTTCAAGGAATAACTGCATTTTATTTCGGTAATTGTCATAATTAGAATTGTAATATGATCTGTTTGATTTAAAACGATTAGAAATAAAGAGGAAAAGGTCTAGCTCCTCGCTTGGCGCTTAAGTAATTTGTAAAGAGACAATTTAACACATTGTAATTTATAATAATAAACATTGCAAAATAAAGCTACAAAATTAGCCACCGTCAATAGCTCATTCTCTCTTCCTATCGGACGGTATTGAATAGTTCGATTTTAACCAATATCCTCTTCAATTTGGTCTCTCGACACGTTGGCACGAGCGATTTCCAGAGCTAACCAGGAAACATTTTCCTAACCACGCGCTGAATTTAAGTTTAAATTTTTTGCGACAGTTATTGAGTTGGTGAAGGAAATTGCAAAACAGATTATATTTGCATCACTAGCGATTCTGTGGACTTAAGAATCTTCCTTGTTATGAACTTTACAAGAAAGAGAAAAAGTGATAAAAAAAGGAAAGATATTCTGGGATGATACCCTGAGAGAGCAAACCCTTAGCTAGCGGTAAGTACAGGCGAACCTGCCTTCGAATGTTAAATATTCGTTCAGCTCCCTTGAAATTCGTTTTCAGTGACAATTGTTGAATTTATATTGTAATTAATGTTTAGCTTTACAAGAAAATTTCAGGTTGGAGGTTTATCTTTTGGTTAACATTTTGCCGTACGTTTATATGCATGCAACCTTAGAGCATAGCACTTCGCCTCCAGAACCACCAAAAACGTCATGTGCTCGCAAATCAGATTTTATGGGAGCCCATTTTATAATTATAGATAGATGGAAACGAGGATGAAGTTGGTCTTGCTTTGGTACAATCCCACCTCCTTTCTTCTGAAAATCATGTTGTGTTCCTATGCCAACTGGAATTTTTCAAGCGTATATAATTTCCATAAGAAAACAAAGGAGGTGTGTACTGACAGGATTGACCTCGGCCTTACATTCATTCGCAGGCTAGGGTAATAAGCCCACAAATCTAAATCGGTCTTAGTGAACCACAAAAACAGTTTTTCCATTATGCAATGAGAGAATGAGTGTATGTAACTGACTTTATGGTCAAGAAAATCTAATGGAATATATGAGAAAGAGGATTCATCTTTTTGGAGTTAGCTTTCCCTTCTTAATCTTAATGAACTTATAGACTTTTAAAATCCATGTTCGTGCCACCATCAGCATACAAAATAATTAACCCGTTAATGTATTTATGTGAGAAAATTTAAGGCTTAGCTCTGATACTGTAGTCAACCAGAGCACTTCATCTCGTTGAATATACAGGTGAGCATGAAGTTAGTAGAGGAGACTGGTTATGAAAGACGGCAAACATCAGAGATAAAAGTAACAGTGTTGCAGTTTATGTTGAAAGCCCCCTGATAGTGCACAATCCTTTGTTTTCTGTACCTTTTGAAATTGTGACTGAATAAATGAACGCGACGTTTTTATTGGTCAATAACATCGAACTGATAGGAACGCTTCTGATCGTTGTCAGTGTGTTGTGCACCGTCCACAAAAGCTCCACAAAAAAAAAAGACTAGTAATAACCAATGGTTATGGAGTGCGGGCAAGATCGATCGAAGGTCAAATGCTCCCTCGGCTCCAACACTGTGCTTTGGGTAGGTTTCACGTGGAGGTGAAAACGTATAAAAATGCAAACTAGTCAATACAGCAAGTCCAGAAACTGGGAAATGAAAGAAGATACAAAACGCCTCACCGAGAATCAGGTCTGTACGATAATTCATATGCGGGATATTCGGAAAAGCGTTTACCTCAATTTATAAGGCTTTGTAGGGAGACGCCATGTTTTGAGGGTCACAATTATGGCCGCCGGAAACCAATCGAAACATCTGTTTTTGAGTTTTCCTACTTACGCATGAATTCGTCTCTTGAGAAACTCATAAAGATGAAAGTAATATTTATTCTAAGCCAAGGAATGTTTAGATAGCAAAATCTAAAAACTGAATCAGTAACGTTTTTAACCCACATACGAGCTTTCCCGGCCGCCCGCGTCACGCAAAAGCCTGGAAATTCAAGCGCCTCCTATCACAAAACGAAGAACCCTTTGGAACCGAAAATTGCTGCGAATAAAGGTTTTTAGGTGCTGTACTGACCTAATGAAAGTGGAAACTCAGAAGAATCGATAGTTTCTTACTTTCAATTTTTGGTGACGTCATGTGAAAACCCTTAAGTGAAAACCAGTGCCGCGCATGCGCAATAGCAACCTTAAGATTAGGATTGCGCGTGCTCCTCTGATCGACCGGACAAAGGAGTTTGACGAACTTCATAACAATTCCACTCTTTTAATTATGATGTTAGCAAATTTACGACATATGCCCTCTGGGATTATGCTATTTGCAAATTCCGCACAGATATCGATTTATGTTCCTACGCTCGGCTAAGGTAACTCGTTTTCGTTAAAGCCAAGGCTACATTTACATAATACCAGATATCCGGTAGAGTATGTGCAGAAACAGCTTGAGGCAGCGCAAGCCGTTCACACATATCGAACATCGTGCTGGCGTAGTTGACCGAGAAGGTTTGGTTCATTAAATCCCAGTCCCAACTCCAGAATATTTACTTCCGTCTCAGTGGGTTCCAGTCTTCACTCCAACTTATTTACTTCTGCGACAGGCTGAAGAGGTGTTCACACCGCACCAGAGTATGGCACAAAACAGTATCCGGTATCTTAATCCGATGTGTGACGCTCCACTAATACGAGATCGGCGCGGCGCAGCTTCGCGCTGCCACAACCGTGCCTGTTTCAGGGGCACCCAACGAGAATATAGTTCAAAACCACTTAAACATAGCA